TAGTACCTCTGAAACAGGCGAGAATATCGTCTACATATCTGTACCAAAAATGAATATGTTTTTTACCCAGGTCGGAATTTACTATAGTCGTCTACAAATTGTTCATAAATATGTCTACGAAAAGTGAATTAAGAGGTGAGCCTATTGGTAAACCTGAATCCTGTTTATAAAATTTGTTGTTGAACTGTAGATAGCTCTGATTATTGGCGTGAAGTTATCCACAGATTTCTGGCCACACATGCTGACGTAGAGAAAAATGTAAATCTGTGGTTGGGATACGAAATTATTAGCACCCGTACTAATATATGTGGCTGGAAATACCTATTCACTATAGGTTGAACGTGGAATTATTGAGACTATTTGGTGTTTAACTTTTTTATAGAATCTTGAGTAGATTGACGCGTTGATAATCGTTTTCTCATCAACAATACAAATTTAGGAAAAAATGAATTTGGAAATATCAGACTTACTTTCCAATACCCCATATAGAAATGATATCCGATGATGTGCGTCCATCAAAATCACATAACTTCCATAGTTTCTTGGATAGATTAACTTGGTGATGACAGTTTTCTTGTCATCTAAACAGATTTCGAAAAACAAGTTGTTGAAACAATCAGACTCATTTCTTGAGATTCCATGTATTCATGAAAATCACACAACTCTTATAGAATCTTGGGTAGATCTATATAGTGAAAACTGTTTTCTTGTCACCCATACAGATTTCTAGAATAAAATTGTTGAAACGATCTGACTAACTTTTTAAAACACCTTGTAGAATTGGAACCAGAAGATGTGCGTTCATGAAAATTACACAACTGTTATAGAATCTTGGGTAGATCGATATAGTAAAAACTGTTTTCTTGTCACCCATACAGACTTCGATAAAAAAATTGTTGCAACAATCAGACTCATTTTTTGAGATTCCTTGTAGAATTGGAACCAGAAGATGTGAGTTCATGAAAATTACACAACTCTCATAGAATCTTGGGTAGATCGATATAGTGAAAACCGTTTTCTTGTCACCAATACAGATTTCGAGGAAAAAATTGTTGCAATAATCAGACTCACTTTTTAAAACACCTTGTAGAATTGGAACCATATGATGTGCGTTCATGAAAATTACAAAGCTGTATGGGTTTTTACTATATCGATCTACACAAGATTCTATAACAGTTGTGTAAATTTTAAGAACGCACATCTTCTGTTTTCAATTCTACAAGGTGTTTTAAAAAGTGAGTCTGATTGTTGCAACAATTTTTGTATCGAAATCTGTATGGGTGACAAGAAAACTATATCGATCTACACAAGATTCTACAAGGAATCTCAAAAAATTAGTCTGATTGTTTCAACAATTTCTCTTTCGAAATCTGTTTAGATGACAAGAAAACTGTCATCACCAAGTTAATCTACTCAAGAAACTATGGAATTTGTGTGATTTCGATGGACACACATCATCGGATATCATTTTTATATGGGGCATTGGAAAGTAAGTCTAATATTTCCAATTCTATTTTTCCCTAAATTTGTATTGTTGATGAGAAAACGATTATCAACGCGTCAATCTACTCAAGATTCTATAAAAAAGTTGAACACCAAATAGTCTTAATAATTTCACGTTCAACCTATAGTGAATAGGTATTTTCAGCCACAGATATTATTACGGGTGCTAATAATTTCGTATCCCAACCACATATTTTTATTTTCCTCTACGTCAGCATGTGTGGCCAGAAATCTGTGGATAACTTCACGCCAATGCTCTGATTTAGGCACACATCGAAAGCTGTTGAAACTCCAAAGGAAGTGATATGTTCTACTCTGGATTGATCTAATAGGTCTAAAATGAGGGGATTACACTCGTTGTACGGTATGTTAGAGAACATACTCTTTACATCTAATTAAAGTAAAATTGAATTATGTGGCGTGGTTTGGTTCCTTATGTTTTGTACTAAAGTCAGTAAATTTTTAATGCTGTAAGGTGGGACGAAATTGGTAATATTTTTGAAAAACTTGTTAAGACGTATTCCTAGTTATTATTTTTTATTTTTCTAAGTTCGGGTAGGATAAGGTTGAAAAATTTATGACCGAAATACATAAATGATCTTTGGGATAAAGATTTTTTGAAAGAGTGAACTTTAAGGTTATTGTTAGGAGTCGATCTGGTTATCTTTGTTTTTTTCGCCGTGAATTTTTTATGCGTACTATACATTCGTAGTAATGATTGATAAATGAAGAGTGTTTTTATATTGAGGAGGTTGGTATCTTCATAGAGTGGTAAATAATCTATCTTCTTTTAATATGATCTTAATCAAGATGTCTTGTGCTGTCTGTAAAGATTGTAATGAGGTAATAAAAGCACCACCCCATACGACTATGCAGTATCTGATGATTGATTCAGCGAGACTATCGTACAAAATAATCATGTTTTTTCTGGAGAGAATATCTCTCAGGATATAAAATTTGTGACTTAATGCTCTTACTTCGTTAATGAAGCATTTTAGTCTTCGGCATTACGTCTACGATTACTTTTCCACTGAAACCGTTGACCCTCAGAATATTCCTCAAATATTCAATAGTTTTTGGTATAGAGATATGTAGAAACAATGAGGATACATCAAATGATACTAAAATATCTCCATCTCTCTACATCCTTTACATGTGAATAAACAACACCTTAGCTCAGTTATGGATTGAGAGAGTTTTAAACTGTTGGCTATTTAGCATTTTATAAGTAGGGAAATTTATGGTTGAGACGAATGTTCGCACCGACTTACCAGGCTTGTGAATTTTTGGTAGACCGTACCTATATCCGTATATTTCAGGAACTGTATGATTAGAAACCTTTAGACTTCTGTTCAAAGCCGATGTGATCAATTTTTACCACTTTTTCACTCTAACAAAATCTCAAGCAATATGTTCTTCGGTAATTTATAATAGGAACCGTTTCTCTATTAAATTATCAATTCTCTCATAATTATCAGACATATCACCACCTTATTGTGTTTGTCTGCTTTCAGATAGAAAACATCTTCACCTTCCATCTTTTGATAATTTTTCTTTGTTTCAACTCCCTACAGCAGAACCCCAAATATTAAGTTCATATACAGTGATTGGAAGTAACTAAGGTTCAGAATTTTATGTTTATAGGAAGAATGCCAGTACGTGTAGGTTTATTCTTGTTAGCTCACACTATTTGCCACAACACAAAATGACGGATGTGAACTTTCCTGTCCATAGGCTTTTCAAGTTCCCCTTGAGTAAAGGTACGAAATTGGGAAAAATGTTATCAAAGTTATAGCTGAAATTAACGGGTATTCTTCTTATTTCGGTAATTATGTCTATGTTTCCGTATCGTCCCAGGTTGCGTGATATGAGCTTTCGATTTGATATCGGGAAAATTCGAGAGGAGTCATTTATTCAGTTTTTGGGAACTGAAATCAATAAATCTAGATATTTGTGATGCACTGTTTCTAACCTTTGGTGTAGTAATGAATGATACTGGAGTTTTTTTCCCAACACCAAACCGTTATTTAAACACCTCCACACGTGTTTCGATCACCAAGTGAATATCTTCAAGGGGAAGATCTTCCTCTTGAACTGAAGGCAGATCCAATACCAGGAAGGCCCGTGAATAACTCAATTCCGCAGTGGTAGAGAGGACTGGCAAAACGGCCCACCGGTAAAAGCGAAAGAAACTTGGTATACAGGTGGCTTAAAGACCCAAGAAGGAATGGGAGCCTCTATATACGGTGGCACAGCAAAGACGAGAATCGCACTCAGCCTCGGACGTAATGCAACTGTGTTGCAGGCAGAAGTAGCGTAGTAGCTACAGTAGAAGTAGAAGTAGCGGCCATGGAATACTGTATATGGGAAATAAACAGACAAAAAGTCACAAATAAAACCATTGCCATTTTTTCCGACAGCTAGGCGGCAATTAAGGCGCTCAGCTCATTTCAAGTCTTCTCAAAACTGGTGGGAAGCTGTTTGAGCGCACTCAAGGAGCTAAGTACCCAAAATAGAGTCAATCTAGCTTGGTTACCCGAATATGAGGGTCACAAGGGCACTGAGGAAGCTGATGTTTTTGCCCGTGAAGGCGCATCCAATGCTATGATCGGCCCAGAACCCTTCTGCGGGGTATAGCGAAAGCATGTATGAAGACATTCATGGATGCAAGCCGAATCGATTAGTTAGTGGAATAAGCTCCAAGGAATGAGACAGGTGAAAGGGTTCATATAGAAACCATCGCCCAGTTTCACGGAAGACCTGCTGAAGCACAACCGTAAGGTTGTAAGGGTAGTGGTGGGTCTACTAACGGGGTATATAGCCGACTCAGGAAATATATGTGCAACATGGGTCTGACAGAAGAAACCCAATGCGGGTTGTGTCGAAAAGCGGAAGAAACCGCACTACATGTACTCTGTGAATACGAAGCGATAGCAAGGCTGAGAAACGTAAGATGCGGGGAAGAGAAACCAGAGGCTGCCAGCTATATGAAGGGTCAGTGTCAAAGCTATGGAGTCTTATCAAAGAGATCAAGCTAGACAATGAGCTCTAACAACCAAGGAGCATCACAATAGATCTGAAAAGGTCGCAGTGAATCAGGCCATGGGCTAGCTCCCCGACAATCTAATCTAAGTAGCACGTGTTCCTGAGAAAGCTACCATATAGTTCCGTAAGATTGCTCCCGCAGAAGCTATTGTATAGTGAAGCACGTGTTGCGATTTCGTGAACTGTTTCTATGAAAATCTCACAATAAAGTATTCCTCATAAGAGCCTAACATTTTCAATATCTGTTAAACTTGAGCACATTGCCAAGTTTAACAGATATTGAAAATGAAAATTACTAATCATAATACTTTAATAATTCGTTAGTGTTAGGCAAATATTCAGCACATTCCATATTCAAATTCTACTTTGAAGCAAAACTAAAGGTGTTCTTAGAATGCCAAGAAATCGAAAACTTTGGCAACATCGACTATTCGAGTGTACTTATATTAATACGGTTATGATGTATTTCAATAGTAGATTTCAGTGATCAGTTAGTTGTTTGGCCGCAGATTTGAAGCGAGAAAGATGAGTGTACCAATGAAAAGTATGTTAAACGGGTTGAAAATACCGGCAATCGGATTGGGAACTTGGCAGGTGAGAACTAAATCAATTCATGAATGGAATTACTTGATGAAAATTCATAATACAGCTATCAGTTAACTAGTTTAGAGATCCAATATTTTTTCTGGAGGAAGGTTGGTTGATGATAATTAAACAATTACCAATTCATTTCTACCGAGGAAGCTACGGTGTTTGCGTGCCTAGAAATGAAAAATGTTTGTGAAAATTGTTTAATTTATATCATGGATAGTGAAATCAATTGCAGTGTAAAGAATGTCACGACAACTTCTGAGCCACTGATGAATTATTATTCCCAATGAAAATAGAAGTGTTCATTTTTGAAGAATTTAAATTGAGTGGGTGAATATTGTATTTAAACACCTAGTTTTGAAAGTAGCATTGTAGTTATCGGTATGTTATCACGTAATTATTTTACTAGTTATAGTGATAATCGATGGCGATATTTTTTCATTCTCCATATGGACTCTTCAAAATATAGATAACTTTCCACAATTTGAGGGTTATTTCCTCTTAATAATCTAATGATCCTGTTATATTACTACTTCGGTAAAAAGTGAGTCCATAATTACTGACCAACATTAAAACAAGTCATTTGTCCTTGACTACAACTATCGAGAAAGAGCTTACATTCCTTCCATTGTTTCAAGACGGAAGTTGAATCAGTAGAATTGATTACAGAAATGAAAAAAATAAATCCATGTATATAAAGTTCACTGCCTATGTATTGAATGTTAGGTGCTGCAAAAATATTAATACCTTTCATATGAGAGAGATAGTAGATCATAAATTGTTCGGTGAGATGGTAGCCTAATGGGTTGACGTGGGTGGTTTATTCCACCCACTCAGTGCAAACTGGTGGTTCGAACCGCAAGGCCGGACTAGCGATTTTCACTTCCTATCGTCCAACCCGTCTTAGGAATCACACTTTGAAAGGTAAGACCTCGTTAATCCTTAGCTCGCACAAGTTTCGAGTTTAGAGGGGGGACAGCTGGTTAACAGAAAAACAGATTTTAACAGAAAGGATTGAAATAAAAGGAGAAGTAACCCTAATACTTGTTGAAAGAATCTGAGGAAAAACAAGGGGGCTGAAACCAGCTATAATATTGACAATACACGCGGATATAAATAGCCTCCCCCTCTCAACTACTGAACAGGACAAAATATCGAGGTTGGACAAAATTTACGTAGAAAGGTATCATTTTTATTTTTGGAAATCGGATTACCCGTTTCCGGGTAATTAGCATTTTTGTCTGTATTCAAAGAATTTACGAACGATAAATACAGAGTGTTTGTTAGGTCGTTTTAAGAAGAAATGTTCATATGAAGATGTGTTCGAAGTTGCTTCGTTTTTGAGATACAGGGCATTGAAGTTTTAAAAAGAAACGGTATTTATAAAATATTATAAATATTCTTACACCGATTTGGTTGAAATTTGCTACAGTTATTTGAAGTAATAAGGCGCTTATTTTGCCCGAACTAGATTGAAATTATTAGTTCCAGTGTCGTCTCAGAGGGCACCACAGCCAAAAATATTGAGAAAAGAAAAGGCCTCTGACTTTTTTGTTGTTTTTTATTTTTTAAATCAAGCAACTATATATACAACATTTTCGTCGCTTGTGTTTTCTTCATATAAAAAGCTTCGTTTTCGAGAAAAAAATCACTTCTAAAAACTATCCATGGACAACATAAAATAAAATCCAAAAGTAAATAATAAACAATTTCGACCTCAAGGTAAATGAGCAAAAATACACGACTGTAATCGATTTGTCATTGAATATCTGACACGTTCAAAAATACCTGGAGTATTAGGTACTTATGATATTGCAATTGTCAAACATGCGATTCCTCAATTCATTCACATCTACTAGAGGGGTTATACAAACAAGAGCCTTCAGATGACTTCATAAATAGAAATTTAGAGGATTCGTATCCGGACTGCAAGCTTGCCATTTTTGAGGTCCTGCACGTCCAATCCAACCATTAAGGTAGGTGATGTCGAGATGCTGACGAGCAAGAACGCTAACATGAGCTGAAGCATCGTCATGCATAAACCACATGTTGCCTCTTACAAAAATGGTCATTGTGAAGGATCATAATAGCATTTCATGAAAAATTTGCTTCGTCCGTGAATAAAATATTTGATAAAAAATTATTATTGTGTGTCATGAATCAACCACCTGCAAAACATCAATCTTGGGTGAAAATCTCAAGGCAATAGAGCTTGGACTCGCTGTATGTGATATGGGTGTAAAAAGTTTCTTTGTAGAACTGCCCATGTAGTTTTTGGGCTGACTTCCAGCTGCACAAATTCCTTTTACTAATTGAAGGATCTTCTTCTATCCCATCAAGTATAGCATCTTCTAGTTAGGGCGTTGTTACAGTTTCTGGTCTTCCACCACCTGCATTTTTATTAAAACTCCCCAGTTTCAGATAATCTTGCTTGTAGCGTTCTAAATGTTTCAGCACATGAACTTACTCTGTTAAGATATCTTTCCTGGTAAATTAACCATGCTTCTTCCACATTTCCATTTGCTAATCCATAAATAAGGTGCATGTCAGCCATTTCGGCATTAGTGAAATTGACAACTCTGACTTTCAATGATATGACAACACTATCACTGTCAGCTGGTCTGCAAAACAGGTGTTCATGATATGCAAAGTGACTTCAATTTTTCTCTCTCGAAAATGAAGCTAGATATGAAGAAAACATAGGCGACGAAAAAGTTGTATATTGTTGGCTATGATGCCCACTGAGAAGACACTGGACCTGATAATTTCAATCTAGTTCGGGCAAAATGAGCGCCTCATTATTTCAAATAACTGTAGTTAGGAAACACCCTGTATAGTTTCAGACAAAAAATATTCAAAACTCACTCTATATAATATAATATGTTGATTGGATATCTTTCGAAATGAAATAATCCAATCGAGCAGATATCCACTACGAATTTATTTTACATAATACTATATGTCCAATTCACAGCTGAGTGACATAAAACGTTCATAGACGAATTACTCCTAGAACTTCCCTTTTATTCTAATTCCTTGGTTATGATATATTTATAATGAATATAAAATTTTAATTTTTTTCAAGTATTTAGTACAAATCGATCATTGGCGTAAAATTTGTAGATAAGTCAACCTTGAAAGATAATTTAATTTACTCAAAAATCACAGATAACTTGATAAAAATGATGTCACCTATTTCAATAAAATCATGTGCAAATAATACTATAGATAACATCTATCCATCAGTAACTCATAGTATGAAAAACATGTAAAAATTATGAAACATCATTTTCGAATTGAAATAATTCCTAAATCTTTTACTTCGCTGCAAACAAGTAGGTAAATTATGCTCTTCCTATGTGTAAGTTTGAAAGATTATTCCAGCTGAAGGTAATACGTTGATACTTGTCGAGGATTGGGTAGAGCGCATTATTTTTGCAATATTCCGTGAAAATGTTAGTCTTTCTGTATAAACAGAGAGTAATCCAAACAGGACATATTGTGGAATACTTTCAGATCTGGAGTATAACAAAAATTCGAAAATCGGAAATATCGTTTATATAAATTTTGAAAAGTTCTTGAAATACTAGACGTTGAACCTTGAGGTATAGTGACCGATACAGACAGTCTATCTGCAACCAAATCTGTATATAGGCATAGCATGGGCATATGAATTGAAAAAAGAATATATTTAGGAGACATCATCTATTGTTGAACAAAAAATGTTGAAAACTTCCATTGAAAGTAGGAAAAAATAAATATCAATACTCTTTCATTTATCATATTGTATAGCATTCCTATGAATAATATCTTTTATTTCACAATGTATGTGTGTAGTACAAATGAAACGTATTGAATAGGGAATTGAAATACCTCTCCTTCCTGGCGACGAGCGGAAGTAACTATGATGACTTTTTTGGTGAACAATTTTTTTGATCTCCTGTCCCCTTTGAAAGTTAGGAGGAAGAGGACAATTTACTTCCGTACTGTATATTCGGTACAAACTCCAATTTGCTCGTACTATTCATGAGTGAAGAAACACCTGGTTTGATAGGCTTAATTTTTAACACGCTTTTATCAGCTTCACCTGTATGTATGTATGTTTGTTTGTTTGTAACTCTCCTTGCTTGATATATTCGCGGGCAGATGGCACTGTACGTAACCTTCTTGATAAATCGATATTACTGCTTCATCTATTCGCGGGCAGATGGCGCTGTACGTAACTTCCTTGATATATCGACATTATTGCTTGATCTATTCGCGGGAAGATGGCGCTGTACGTAACCTCCGTGACATAATTCGAACTCACTTTACATGTATTTCTTCATTTGAAAAAAGTATTTTTTTCATTAACACGTGCGCTTGCTGCCCTATTGTAACCCTCCTTTTCGCGCCTGCTGCCTCTTGGTAGCTGATTTTCAGGCTCCCTCTCCGGAATCGGAAAATATAAATGGTCATTTTTGTAAACAATATACGGCTGATTGTTCCCAAAGTTTAGATAAAATAAATATATTTTAAAAAGACTAAAAAACACGCTTTTAAAGAACATCGAACTAAAAAGTAAAAATATTCTCTTAAATAAGCTCAATGATGCTAGTGTTTTTCGTTCGTTATTATTTTAAGCTTATTTAAAAAAATATATTTTCAACTTTTCAATTCAATGTTCTTTAAAAGCGTGTTTTTTTTTAGTTTTTCAAACTATATTTATTTGGTCTGTATACTGGTCACGTTTCTCCTAAGCAAATGTTCGACATCGAGAAAAAAGTAATCGAGGAAAGTAACAGGTATCTTTCGGACACAGTCCATAAATTAGGAACTGAACATAGATTCAGTCATGGTTTATACGATAACTGTATAAACCAAAATATCCCAATTGATTGATCTGAATTTTTCAAAAATCGAATATAAAAGTGATTTGCACAATTCAACAAATATCGGGCAACTCGAAAGACCAGAATGGCGAATAAAGAAAAATCTGGGTTTTTCGAATGGAGCTGTGTTGATTGCGACAAAAAATACGTTGGTCTAATAAAGCGAAATGTTATGACACGTTTCAAATCATGTTTCACACAGGCGCCGCTCCTAGAGTGACTCAAGGATTTTCCTATAGTGCTTGTGTTTTGTCCTTAAAAAAAAGATAAGTCTATTATCGCTTAACATGTCTTAGAGAATCGCCACGAATAGATGAAAAATTGTTAAAATCAGTATATGACAATAGGTTTGTAGACGCCTTTGAAAGTTAAGAATTCGAAAAATATTAGAATGGAAAATAATAAGAAATAGAAACTAATTAAATATCAGGTAAATTGATACAATACCAGAAATAATTCATTTTTGATCCTCATCACTTGAATTTATGGGGTATTTGAATTGAAAGTTGGTTTCTATTATCTCCTGATAATGCTAACTTGGTTAGCAAAACGTGCTTCGACAGAGTATTTCCATTTTGGTATAGTAAAAGTGGTTTCTTCAAAAAATCGTCTCTTCTGGAAGTTTCAGGACACATCCACTTCCATGTAGGTACTGTCACGAAAATGACTACCATAGAGCGAAGTCGATCGCCTTATAACAGTTTTAACTAGGTGCCGGGTGTAACTAAATGTGTCGGCATCTACAAAGCTTTGTAACTTTAACGAAACCTGTAACGTTTTAAATTTCTGAATTCAGAAGGATCAGTCAAGCCGCCCTGTAGGTTCGTTATTTTATCAGAATATTGCTAAGATGGTGGTTTGTCTATTAGGCAGGATTAAATAAAACCGAGATTTTCACGGTCTGAATTTGGAAACGATTCAGATCAAAATCTATCGTAAAGCCGACACGAAAGCAAGGCTCTAGCTAGGGACTGTCCGAAACCTAAAAACATCTAAGGTTTTTTGGACAAGAATGATAAGATCACCTGTGAAAGATTAACGTCGAGCACTGTCCGACCTTTTATTCATTTTTTGGTGGTAAAAATTGGAGAAATCCTTCGGAAAAGCTATAGTTGCATCATACACATCGTTCTTTGAGATACGAGGAGACATTCTAGAAAGTACCAACGGAGAATCGTAACAAGTATAAAAAAAAAATCAAAAATGATAATACCCCTTGAGTAAAAGCCCTAATATTGATTATTTATTTTGGAGCAGTCTGATTAGGTACTGAAATCTACAGTTCATTCCTCAAAAAGTACAGGATAGTTTAAGTATTTACCTTTCCTCTGTGCACCTAAGACATCTGTTGACGGGGGTAATACTTATCGAGTTTAATTGTAGTTAATCTAATTAGTTAATCGAAAAGTAGGTTTTGTATATATTAAGATTCAGACAGTTACTTTCCACTACTCGTTTGTTCCCTCACTTTCAATTTATGTAATGATCTATCTGTGTCAGTTTAATAGTCGAATATTTTGATTTAATATAGTTCCGTGATAAGAGTTCCCCAGTAGTAATATCGTAATCAAAACGGCCTACAGCCGCGTAATGATATCTTTACTCGAAACGTTTGTTTCAGCATTAAGTAATAGTTCTTTAAACTTGATACATATATTTGCCTGCTTTTTTCTATATTAGTTCGTTGCAAATAATATATGAAAATCAATTTTGAAGTTGTTATACATCAGTTGGTAGTGAAGTTTGTAAATATTTCTTTCTATATATCAATTCAATATAAATTTCAACCTTGGAGCATCGTTGTTGACTTTTTGGCTATTTCTCCATCCCTTCCCTGTTGAATCCGTTCAGCTGGCGCACCAAGGCTTACTTTTTTCCATCTATTTCGACTGTAAAAAAAAACATATTTTCCCTACTCACGTCCAGCCCCGACAATAATCGACTAGCCTGGGCCGAGCTATTTCTTCGTAATTACATAAATACCAAGGTAGGTTATACACCGTTCATAACATTGCTGAAATTTCATCCAAGAGTGTAATGAAATCCTCTTTTTCGTTTAATACATTTTTTACGATGTTAAACCAGGACATTCACATGTGTTTTAGTGTACAAATGCACCGGAATTGGAGACCGCTTTAGATACAGCCCTAGAATGTGGATATCGCCACATTGACACTGCCTTTGTTTATCAAAATGAAGAAATTATCGGGGGAGTTTTGAAAAAATGGTTCACTTCAGGAAAACTCAAGAGAGAAGATTTATTTATCACCACAAAGCTACCATTATATGGTGTGCACGAAGACAGGGTGGAAATGTTCATGGATAAATCATTGAAGAATTTGGGTTTGGATTATGTGGACCTGTACCTCATTCACTTTCCTGTAGGTACACAATATAATGAAAACGGTCAATTCGATCACCGCAAACCGGAAAAGTCAGATCACATCGCGATCTGGAAAGTAAGTAATAATGATATCAATGAAAATTTCGGTAACGTATTTGTCTGTAAACGAAATCTACGAATAAATTCAAAACAAAAATACCTATGAAAATAATTATTTTCTGCCATACTTGATTAAATGACATCAAATTATCTAGAATTAGATAAAAGTACCACCAAATGTCTTCATAAAATAATTTTCAAAGAATATTATGATTCAAGTTTTATGGAGGAGATTTAGAGGTAACCCAAACTTGTACGAAACGTTTTACTTAGAAGAAACACATTATTGCCTCTACCGGAGCAATATCAATCAACAATAATTTGTTGAATGTCAGAGACCATTCCATGAAAATTTTAATGGCTGGTGTGATACAGGTAGGGCTAATCTCAACACCTGATCATGCTCATTTGCGTAACTTATGTTAGTCCACGGTAGTGCCCTTCAACTTCATAGGCTAGGTTAGATTATAGATTACGTTAGTTTTTGATAAGAACCTTTTCTCCTCAACTTTGAAGGCTAAATTAGGTTAGGTTAGGTCAGTTTTCAATAACGTTATTTGAAAAAATTTTAAATCTCAAATATGTGGAAAAAATCCGTGAAAAGTGTACGCGATCGAGAATTTTTCAATTTCTAGCAGGAATACGCCTTTCATATTTGTACGCATTCAATTAGATTATTGCGAAGAAAAGAAAATGATTTTTTGAGGTTCATGTACTTCTGAAAGTTGAATTCATTGTTGGATAAGTTAAGCATTCATTTGATCGGTCACTCTTCATATGGTGAACGTTAACTTATGGTGAGTTTTAAAAATCCGCATATAACATTAGGTTGATTAACATTAATTTTAGCGAATTTTGAAGTCTGAATCATGGCCATTTCTCATTTCAGAAAATGGAAGAACAGGTAAATGCTGGTAAAACGAAATCAATCGGAGTATCGAATTTCAATGAGAGGCAAATTGAGAAAATCTGGAATAACTGCAGAATTAAACCAGCATGCCTGCAAGTAGAACTCCAAATTTATCTGCAACAACCCGACCTCGTGAACTACTGTCATTCGAAGAAAATTGCTGTCGTAGCATACTCACCGTTGGCTTCGCCGCAATACAACAATTTCATAGGAGTATTTGGGATAGAGTGAGTTTTATAATATCAAATAGTACTAATGACGATAATGGTGATATGAATCCGCAATGATATCACCAACTTAATATTCCTGCACCCGATAACAAGAAACGAGTTGATCGATATCATTTTCGATTCAAAATAAAACTTCTGGTCCCCATATGATATTTGTGTTCCTTATCAAAAAGCTTCGCATGTACTCAATAGAACCCATGCCACATTTTGAATTCAATATTCACTGTTGCTAAAATACCTAAATGTTTCTAAATCACAATACCGATTTTTAAGTCTGGCGATAAAATATAAAATCAGTAACAAACTTTCGACCCACGACTATGATTAATAATTTTTCTAAAATGTTCGAAGAATGTCTCAAAAATATAGTTATACTATTTGCAATAATTTTTTTTTCTTCAATGTCTAGCTGGTGTGAGGGGTGTTGCTTTGAAAATATTTGAGGACAATTCGATGAATAGAACACAAATTGTCAAGGTAAAAAACTCCCTTCGCGACCCATTAGTAGTTACCCAGGGCGTACAACAAAGACATGTATTGGGACCTATCTTATTTCTCCTATATATGAACATCATCTTCCAAATTTCAATGGTGAAATAACTTCATTTGCTGATGATAAAACTATCACTCTTGTTGGAAAATCGTGGGAAGAAGTATACACTCAGGCTGAAATAGGCATCAAAATGATGTTCAACTGGTTAAATTTTAATATATTGAGTGTCATTATCAAAAAAAAAACATTTTATTGCATTTATTGATTATGGTGGATATTATGAGAACATAGGCTTTCACGGCTGGAGTTACGGCTGAGCATTCGCATGGATACGCCACCATCACCTCCACCACCATCGTCAAACTATCACCCCCTCCACCATCCCCACTGTCATTCACACACTAGTGAAACGTAGCTCAACAGTCAATCGCTGCTGAGACTTCGTTGCAAGGACTTCGTTCTCGCAGTTAACCGACATATCACCGATGAAGTCGGCCGCAGTAGCATACGAAACATTTGCTATTTCAGGTTCCATATCAACCCGACATTTATTTTCTTCTATAATATTTGTTAGTCTGATTCATAAGTGTCATTCGTACCATTTCAGTTCGCCCCCATCGAAAATTACGATTGAGGTGATAATGTATTGAAAACTACTCCTCCTCAGCAATTTACTGTATTGATATAGATGAAAAAAATTATGGAATTATGGCGTAGTATTTACATATTTATTCAGGTTACGCTATGCTCAACGATTTTATTTTATTTTTTATCTGATCAATACTGTAGATTGCTGAGGAGAGTGGTGTGATGATTGCTACCTAGGACCTTCTGAATTATTTTTATAGTTTTTAGTAGGTACATTATCTACATCATTATTAATTTTTTTTTCAATAAAACTGTGAGATGAAAATATATTTTTACTTATTTTTTGACAAAAATGAATTGAAATTATTCATATCCAGTCCAACTGAGTCATCATTTCCTTCCATGAATCCGATTCAAAGTTCGAGTCCTTCCGACTCCATCATCTTTTCAATCCCAAAATCCTTTCAATCCCCTCAAGCTTCGTATTGACTACTATTTCAAATTCCTCCTTTGTTTCCTGAAATACTTTCCATCTTCTAATCTAATCATCCTCCTCTTTTTTGCGTGTTTTTCATTCTCCGCCAGCTCCGCTTGTAAAACCTCGATCATATTCCTAAGTTCTTTCATCCCCTTCATCGACACTCCTCGTTTTCACCTAATTATTCCACTTCTGACACCAAATGTTACGTTGTACGCACTTCGTACGGCACTTTCAACTATAATTGCCTCATCTGCCTGTTGGTAGTGCCCGGATGTTTCGGTTATTATTCTGTGCACCATCTTCCTTTTCCATTTTTTACAGAAACCTCATCTCTATACCTCTATTAGTTGAGGATTTTGATCTTCCTGTTAGTAACCACGTGTCACCTTTTTTCAGGGACAAACACAAGCACTACAAAAAATTCTTAAGGCTCTCTAGGAGCGGTTCCTCTGCGGAAGTAGCGATTCACATTGAATTTGAACCACTTGGAAAAATGTTCCCGGAGAGTTTATTCCAAATAAACGCAGTTTTCCAAATGAAAGAGTGAAGTTCGAGGTGTACTGAGTTGAACCTCAAAACGATGCGCAACCACTATCCGTCGCATATATCCCATTTTACTATCCTGAAATAAATTATCGCTTTTATATGCGACCATGTCTACGATATTAAGGAAGAATAATCAAAAATGAACTTTGTTCGTTAGGTTAGGTTTGGAGATCTGAGGTTCAAATCTCCAAAACGTTCCTCTGAGCAAAGTCTTTCTATCATCCAAAAACAATTATCGGTAAACCAATTTCTCTCTCAAGCTAAAATGTATCAATTTGACATTGTTTCAGTTTAGCTCAAGTTCAATTCCTGCGTGCCAAGTGCTGTGTTTCATATTATACCACATCTTCTATATCACTTGATCAAAAGAATAATAATATAAATTGATTGACCTACATAGTTTGTGATCCCTAAAATATGTGATCCCTAAAATATTCGAATTAAAGAATGTCGACGACGAATAATGCAGAAAAAAAAGACTACTGTAAAGATAATTTCGATGACTTTAAGACAACATTCCACTGAATCATCATGCCTTCCATATGTAACTTTTCCGAAGAAAAGTATGCGCCTCCAAAGAAGAATCAACTCATTGCTTTTTTTCAGAAATATAACGCCTCTGTTTCATTACAGTTTTGCCCACTATGATCGAAATATTTTCTTGCTGTTACATTGTCCCAAATAACAAATCATTTTCTTCAACTGATCCCAACTGAAGATCAAAGGTTTTTTTGAAGGTAGTTGACAATGTTTCTTGGTGCATTTCATCAGTTCGGATTTCCATTGTCTAATATGATACAAACTGATTTGAAATACCGAAATGAATCTGTATGAAACTTTTTGATCTTCCTCTTGAAAATGATCACTTGGTGATCGAAACACGTGTCGAGGTGTTAAAATAACGGTTTGGTGTTGGAAACAACTCCAGTAATATTCATTACAACACCACCAAAGGTTCCAAACAGTGATCCTTAATTGCCATCTCAAGATTATATATATATGCAAATATCAATTAATGATTTGAAATTATATATTTTCAGGCCCAAAGAACTACCAAACGTCTTCACTAACCCAACAGTCAAACAAATTGCTGAAAAGCATAAAAAGAGTAGCGCTCAGATAGCATTGAGGTACTTAATAGAGAAGGATATCATACCTATACCAAAAAGTGTAACTCCGTCCAGAATCAGGGAAAATTTCCAGGTTTTTGATTTCAATCTTGATACTGACGACATGAAAAAACTGGAAAAACTTGATCTAGGAGAACCAGGACGAGTTTGCGACTTTACTTTTTTGGAAAGGTTTGTATCTTCCTTCAAAATAATGAAAAGTTTTTTATGACTTTCTTATAAATTTTGCTATTTTCTACATTGAACGGTCCTCGTGATAGTTTTATACATTTTTATTGGCAAGTTAAATCCACAGTTGATTCGAACAAAATTCTTGAGTCAAAAATGCAAAATTTTTTTCAAAACTGGTCGAAACTCAAGTTTGTAAAAATGCGGACACTTATAATGAATACTCGTGTCTTCTTCTAGCTATTATTGACAATAATTACTCTCTGCATTTTTTGTTTCAGTTTAAAAGATCACCCAGAATGGCCGTTCAAAAAATAAAAGCACTGATTGTCAATTAATAATACCAACAGGAGAGCACTAAAATATCAATCAAAGTATGGCACCTAAAGATGTTTCCTCACCAGTAAAGAGCATATTAACATATTTTGCACTTGTTGTTTAATGTATTCGCAAATATATATGGATTATCAAAATGAATAAATGTTGAAGGTACAGATTTCTTTAAAGATAAAAGATCAGGTATCCGGGAAGAAATGAATAAATGGAATTAGGATTTGTCAAAACTGTTTTCCGGATTTGTTGATCGTGGTCTGCAGGTTTGTATGCCCAACGTTTCGTTTACGACTGGAGTGAACAATATCAAAGACGATGAGCTAACGGAGAAAGTGCTTGGGTTGTCCTCACAATATTTGCTACTTCCAAACGTTTTGAATCTCCGGTTTTATTCAATTGGTGGTAGTAAGCGTTGCTCCATTTCTGTTGACTGAATCAAAAGACCAGTGTAGTTTAGTGCAGATAGTCAAACTTCATAGATGTTCCAATTACTATAATTCGGAATCCTTTTCAAGTCTTCGGAAATCATTGCAGCTTCATGGACAATATTTTCCTGACATCCATTCGAACAATTTCGTTCCCTGTTTTAGTTTGTACAGGTCTCTTACTGCAGGTATGTCATATTATTGTGGACATAATTTAGGTTGTTATGAATTATTTGCCTTTGTGATCCAGAGCCTCACATTTGCATGAAATATGATGAGCTGTCAGTCAGTTGTCCTCTCTATGTAATTGTTCTCAGCCGATCTCTTGGACGGTAGTATTATAAATATTTTCCCGGGTGTGTTTTTTCAGTACTCTTTAAGTTTTTCATACACCCGTTCGTCGAGATGGTGTTATACCAAAGATATTGGTTCAGAGCCTATAATGGACTTGATGATACGTGTATCATCAGCTTTTTCATTTCCTGTGATGGCTGAGTATATTTGCACCCAGTTATAGCCAATCTTTTCCTGTCCGCCATTTTTCCTCAGTCCCAGACCAGTTGATATATTCTTTTCGATTACTTTTTATTTGTTTCTACCGCCTCCTAATATGATCTTGGGTAGTATCTCTGAGTTCTCTCGAGCAGATGGATCTCTTCAAACGCGATAACATGGGTACTTTCTGAGTGCATGTTCCACCACAGCTGATTTTTCAGTATGCACCAGGTCTAACGTCTCTTGTGTTCAAAAAGTCACTTCTCTCCGTGATTTCAATTCCAAGCGATCCCCAGCTCCAAGGGATCCGGTATACCCCTGATGTTGCTAAAGGATTCTTACCGACTTAAGGCTATTTTTGATAGTTTTCGGTAGATTCAGAACCGATTGCACATTGTATTCCTCCAGAATTCTCCCAAAAATCTACCCATGTGATAACTATAACTAGACCAGTCGCTTTTCTATCAGTGATAATATCCACCTGAAGCAATGTAAGCATGCTGGGTGTAAAAGTCTTTTACATATGCTGTTTCCTTTCTGAATAACGAGCTACCCTCTGTTCTGAAGAGATTCAATACTCTGAAGCGATTTTAGAAAAACGTAATAGTTTAGGATCCCGCTACAAAATCTTTACAATACGTTCACTAATTTTTTTCACTATATTTCATTATATTTCCTGAATGGAATACCATTCATATCATAGTAATGTATATAAAGATTTAGAAAAGTCATGACGTACATGTTCATGACGTACATGCATATTTTTTACACCAAATCAAAGCTATTTTTTTTAATTCGATGATATACCTCTGCCTGTGAAAAATGGCCACAAATTAGGTTTGCTAGCAATTAAAAACGCTAGATATCAAAGTTGAAGTGAAAGAGAGTTAACGCACAACGCTGCTCGTTAGACGAGGACGGCGAGTGCCAGCTGTGTGAGTTTCACTATTAAAACTGTAATATTTTTTTAAATTCTGAATTTTAACCAAACTCATCAATTGATTCCACAGTCAAAATGATATCAAAATATTTGTTTTTTCTCGGCGAAACATTAACATAGAATATGGATTACTGAAATCAATCACATTTTTAGTTTTAGGGCACCTTGATACGATTTTCACTTAGACCCAATAAAAGACGACCTATTGACAGTAACATCCATCTAGAGAATTATAATCTTTTCGGTATATATAGCCAGTCTTCAAGTATGCCCACTGTGTGTATACGTGGAAAGTTTTCTTTCCTTATACGAGGAAATGGGCCAAATTCGGATATGCGGTTGGTTGCCTCGTTCACAGGCGGATGGGGCGATGACAAACCTGTTGTTTGTTGTCCACTTCAGCCTCGATCAAGGAATGATTCTCTGAAGGAATTCGATTTTCAATTATCGGAAATCATCTACTTTATGTTCAGAGGAATCGGGCATATTACGGATATGCAGTTGGTTAGTACTTCGTCCACTAGATAGAGTGACATTTTGTTGTTCCCTCCAACTTAGGAAGAGGAATGAAATACTCCGAAAGAATTCCGATTTTCAATTATGAAATATCATTGACTTTAGGTCAATGATGTCCACTATCTTACACTGACGAGTGGCCAAACAGCCGGAAACCGGTCTTCAAGTGGATTCCAATAATTGAAAATCATCTATTGCGGTAGTTGTATCGTCAACAGCTAATGCAGGAATAACTTCAGTGAAGCCTTTTGTGGTATTAGCCAGGGGAGTAGTTGTTTTCTGATAGGTGTCACTACATCAACCTACAGTGTAGGTAGTTGAGACTGGCTTGAACGAATTATTCCTTCAGATGATTTGATTTATAGACAGTCTGCAAGTATGCCAACTGACTATATGTCAGTTGGCATACTTGCCAACTTCCTCACCTTCATCACTTGGCTGGTTCTCTTGAACTGGTTGTAAATTTTGGAAACTGTTCCAGAGTGGGTGTCTTCCATTAAATTCAGAAGCTGCTTCTCGATAACATCTTGTATGGTTCAATAGGATCAACAGAAACAACAAAAACAACAGCAACAACAAATGCAACAGGAACAATAAAGCAGAATCAACACGAGGAAGTGAGACTGAATGTAATACGCTCTATCAACAATATTGTTGGTTAGTATCAATCCTCATTTGTTTTCCAAGGCAACGTCAGGACATTCCTTGATTTTTATTGAATACAAGAATTTGAATTCGCGAAAGAGGATGGCAATGATTTAATAGTAAACAAATATCGAGAGGTTACAAAATACAATAATTTTTCCCAAAAAACCATTTTCAGTAGATATTTCCGTTGGTTGAATTGATTTATTTCTAAACTGAGAGTCCCATAAGCAAATGCTCAGATTTTATTATTATTCGCCATCAGAATTATTGGTTCAGGTGGAAAGCGTTTTTGGTATGTCCTTCAATTCCACTGATTCCACAATTCAACGATAACAATTACAGAAGACACGGGGGTGCTTCCAAGATGAGTGAGACAAATTTAGATTTTTCAGTGCCAATATTGTTTCAGAAAAAAGGTGTAATTGTAGTAATTTGGGAGTCCCGATCACGAATATTCAGCCTATTTTGTCCCCTTGTATGATTTACTGTAAAAATGTATTCTTCCATCGCGACTGGCGGGCAGTGTATAACACTTAGGCCAATAACATTCAAGCCGGTGAGTGTATTTTCAGCAATTTCATAAATCCTACAATTTTTATCATTCTACTTCTTCTACCAATATAGATAAGTGCTATTCAGATCATTCCTATATTGATTTCAATTTAAAGGCCACTGGTAGACAGCTGTTTCAGCCTGATACGCAAGCGAAACATAAGTTGAACCACCTACTAGTGTGACACCCAAGTCAACTTGCAAAGTTGACAGTGTTGGTGGTTTGATCAATTAACCGCTAAATGCTACCACAGTTGTGGTAGCATATTTCTAGAAATGATATGAAATCGAGAAAAGTTAATGCAGTAGAACTGCTGGAAAATAATTCCATTAAAATCAAAAGATAAATAGATATGTACCATTCTGATCATTCCCATATTGATTTCATTTTGAAAGCCACCGGTAGATAGCTATTTCAGCCTGTTGGGCATCGTCAGTACCAGGTTGACTTGGGTTTCACACCAATAGGTGGTTCCATTCATGTCTTGCTTGCGTTTACACAGTAACTTTCATCAAGTAATTTTCTTGGTTATTCACATTTTGTCTTCAATCGGGGACCGCCTCCCCGGTACTGACGATGCCCAACAGGCTGAAACACCTGTCTGTAAGGTCGACCGACTCCCAAGCACTCAACAGTAATATCCAGATAATGACAAATGAAAATCTGTCGAAACGTCGGTGAGATTGAAGATAATATCACATTACACGGATCAAAAACTCGGAAACCAGTTCAGTATAGTTTGTCGCAAGTTACGGCGGCGTCTTCAAGGGGCATAGCGGGTAGAAATATCTCAGTGACTTTGTGGCGTTGTACGCTAACTCTAATTCACTTCAACTCTGATACCTAGCGTTTTCAATTGCTAGTAACTCTAATTTACGGCCATTTTTCTCACAGTCAGTGCTATATCATCGTATTTAAAAAAATTTGCTTCAATTTGGTTTAAAAAAATGTATGTACGCCATGAACGTAAAAAAGCCAAAATATCACCTATTTACACCAGGCTGCGGAGTAGTTGCGGCCGGATGAGGAATGGCGATATGACGATAACCCAAGTCAGTCATGAATTGTTACATGTCAGATTGATATGACACGTTGTCCATGTTAACAACGCTACGCCGATGATTCGCGTGCAATATCCAAGTAGCCCATTGTCGGCGTTTCCATAACAACAAAACCGAGGCACTGCATAATCATTGCTGTCAAGTTACCCAACGAAAATAGTTTTATTGTTGATTGTTATAGTATAAACAGTTCAGATTCATATTGAATATAATGGAATACCAAGATTTAGAGTTGGAAAATACACCTCCAGAAATTGTTCAGAAAGCAATAGATGTTTGCAATAATTTGCACATCGAGAGAAAAATATGAAATCGCTTAAAGAAACTTCATGGATTGGAAAATGAAAGCCAAAGTGAATTCTTGTTCCGAAAATACTTTGTTAGTTTATTTTGAAGAGTTGTCAAGAAGATTGAAATCATCAACATTATGGTCTCAGTACTCGATGCTGAGGAGTACCTTAATCATTGAAAACTGTGTTGATATATCAAAAGACGTAAACCTACGTGCATTTTTAAAACGCAGATCTGAAAAATATGCTCCAAAACAGTCAAAAACATCAACTTCTGAAGAAATTCAACAATTTTTGAAGTATTTGCTGATAAAGGTATGACTTGAAAATTTTCAAATTGTTATCGAAAAATGAATGTTCGGTTTTGATTTCAGGCTGCTTTAGCTATTGGCCTTACAGGGGCATGCTGTTGTGATAAACTTCGAAAATTAAAAATTGATAACATGGAGGATCTTAATTCGGTCCTTTTAATGAAATTACCCGTTACTAAAACCAAGGTTCCTAGAAATGTTACAGTCACAGGAGAATTCTACTAAATTTACAAAACATATGTGAAGCTTCGACCATGCACAAATGAAACATGTTTTTTTATTATATCCAAAAATAGCAAATGTACGAAACACCCTGTGGGGATGAATAAATTTGGCACCATGGCGAAAGAAATAGCGAAATTTTTGCAATTACCGTACCCTGAATTATAACTAGCCACTGATTCCGAAGATCATCTGCGACTATTTTAGTTAATGCAGGGGAACTAACTTTTAAACGCCACGGGGGTTGAAAATCCAGCAATGTTACTGAATCTTATATAGACAACTCCATAGTTAACAAAATTGAAATTTCAAAAGGTATAGTAGAATCCATTCAGCCTCCAGCGCCATTAGAACCTGAACACAACAATGCTGTGGAAGCTCAGTACGTTTTCCTATAAACTTCAACTTCGACCGCAGCTAATATTTCAATCACCGAAAACATGTTGAAACAAAACGACCTACCAGGAATTACTTTACAACATTTTTCAAATATAACTGTTAATTACTATTTTGAATAAAATATTAAAATGAGTTAATGACATAAAAGTATTATTATATATGTATTTTAATTTTCAATACTTAAAAACAACGCAACCGTAGAAAAAGTACAGTGTACAATGCGTGAGAAAATGACATATTTCTCACTCGCTTGATTTGCGGCACTCGCCTTCGGCTCTTGCCAACAAACTTCTGCTATCGTGAGAAATATGTCGTTTTTCTTACTTGTTATACTATATACTATTTCTAAATCTTTACATACATTACTATGATGCGGACGGTATTTCATTTTAAAAATATGTTTGAATCTGTTTAAAATCTGTTTTTCCGTTAATCAGCTGTCGCCCCCATACGAACGACAACTCTCAGAAGTTGAAAAACTTGTGCGAGCTAAGGACTAACGAGGTTTTACCTTTTAACGTGTGATTCCTAACACGGAATGAACGAATTTTTCTCCAAGTATTTGCGGCACTTTTTGACTGGCACTGTGTGTGAAAATTTGAGTTTGAGTAACTACGCTATGAACGTAATGATTTTACAGCAGGATCCTGTACTATAACAAACTCTTATCGTCAAAGACACATTGGACTACTTATTCACAGAATTTTTAATGAGTGCGCATGCTATAAACACCATGAATATCAATATCACACATTTCAGTTCACTCAACTATCGAATATGAACGTACCGGTGAAAATTGTGACAAACGGGTTGAAAATACCTACCATCGGATTGGGAACTTGGCAGGTAAAAACTAAAATCCATCTTATGGAGAGATTTTCTTGATACATATGAATCAGAAAAAAAATATTTTTTACTAATTAGTAGTACTAAATTTTAAAGGATTTGAAAACAATCGTTTGATTGATGCTTAGCGGCAATTTAAAAATATCCATTCGGTTCATAATCAGATTATAATTGTATAAATATTGAAATCAGTTTATTTGACATTAAAGAGCCAAATAAAGTAGAAACGATATCACATTTTTTTCGTGAAGCATTTTTGAAAATATTTTTTCTTTTCTGAAATCTAAGTATAAGTATATGCATTAGGACGCCAACACGTATGGATAATTTTCTACACGATGCAGAAGAATGCACTCCCATTATGAATCTCAGAATTTTTTTTCTGTGTGTCGAATCACTGGCGTGGTCTGGGGATCCTAACAAAATTAGACCATATGAGAATACAGATTGAACAAGGTTAAAGTATATCATTTTTAAGATTGCAGAACTGACCTGAGTTACGTAGTGGCCTTATTAAAAAGGACACAGAGGCTATCTATCAGCCTGAATATCAGTGGATTAACTTTCATTCTTATGTCTATCCATACCGTTTCCCAGCCCGGACAGAAAAGCCAATATTATTCATTTGAACGCATAAAGGCGGAACGGACCTTTAAGATGATTATATTTCCGAAGAAAAAACTATCAAGTTCCCAAATGCAAATATTGTATTGTGACATATAGGTATTATTTAAAATAATAAAGAAATTTAAATATTCTAAAGAATATTAATGCAGATTATAAGAAGAAATCCCCCCATGGCATCTGTTTGTCTGAACGCCATAACTCAAAAACCTCGGAACAAATTCCAAATTTATTTTTGACAGGGACAATTTGTAGTTTACTTTTGAATTGAATCATATGAACCCTTTAGCAGAGGCGGCAATTATCCCTAAAATCTCAAATAGAGAGGAAGGTTGAGTGACACCGCATTTCAAAAGTCGTTCAGCTACCTTTTGAAAAATACCACACACTTGACATTTATTTTCAGCACTATCTGAGAAATCAAGTAAAAATGTGAAGATAGTAACGTATCAATGGTTCTGCAATAAAATTTTCGAAAAATAAAGAAAGTGATTCATCTCGATAATGTTGTCTAATAAATTCTTAACAGTGATAAAGTTCCTCAAAATGTTCTGTAACATTTCGAAAAACTTCTCCCTGAAGTTTTCTACACGTATCTGCTATTTTTTCAAATTTCCCAAATCTCGATGCTTTGTTTTGTAAACAATCGATCTCAGATCGATTGTTTACATCAAATCCCAAATTTGGGATCAATATGTTTTCAAACCATACCTCAAAAATATTAGCTTCCATGTTTTCAAGATAGTCAACATTGCAGTCCTCAAGTTTTTTCCACATAATTTCAAAGAACCAAACTTGAGATGTAGATTCTTATATACATTAAAATATACTCTCTGTGTTTCAATATTGAAATGCATTCGAATTTTATTGACTTGATTGTTCATCAGCGCTATTGGAATCACTACACAGGAAAAAGTATGTGTTGTTATCACACTCGTCATTACTATTAAATTGTCCAAGGACGCTACATTTTGAACAGATAACAAAAATTTTGATTAATTATAACTGCACCAATATCGAATTTCAACACTCAAATCAAGATCATTTCCTGGACTGAACATTGACAACACGGCGGCTCGCCAATCATAAAACTCGGTTAGTAAAAATCATCCATTACGAACAGACAATTCTTCAATCCAAGTGGACTAGCTGGCAGCGGCTTTATCTCTTTGTATTGGTTTTATTTCCTTTGAGGGCGCCGATAGCTTCAAGTATTCATAATAAAGATTACTTCGACTACACCAACAGCATCAAATTGACTTTCCAAACTAGTTAGTTTTTTCATTTCAAAATAAACGAGTCAACGGCGGTGGTTACTAATGTTGGAACAATTAGATATAATTATATTTAATCTTTGCTTCTTTTCGTCTGACCGATATAGACTTTACCACAGTTACATGTCCAGTTACATGGAATCCTGTAAACTCCCGCTGATTTGAATGGATGTCTGATGTTTTTCGCTGGTCTCAGATACTGCGATATTCCGTTGGTTTGAAAACGGTGTTAATTTTCTCCTTCTTTAGAATTTTCCTGACTCGATTGGTGACACCTTCTGTGTGTGTCACATAGACAGTGCCTTGGGGATGATCGTCAATGGTGTTTTTTTTCTCCCTTGGACGCGTAGCGCGGATTGTCTTTTCTGCCGAGGTCGTTCGCTTGTAAAACAGTTGCTATTTTTTTTATTTCGTCGTCGACGTACCTTTCTCCATATATCAAAGCTCTGTTGACACTAGGGCGTTGATGACGGCTCGTTTCTGTTTTGGATGATGATTGGATCCGTTATGTAGATATCGATCTGTGTTTTGTCTTCTTGTATTCCTTATGGCCTAGTTTATTTCCTTTGTTGATGACTGAAACATCAAGAAAACACCATTGTTTAAACTAATTCAATAATCGCACAATCTCTTACTCGCAAAACTGAATTTAATTTTGGCGATTAATGATTTTCAACAAACTCAAGCGTGCTTTATCTTTTTTTCATCGGTATATATTGTGTTCAACTTGTGAAATGTGACAAAATTGGTTGAGCGACCAAATCAGTGATTGACGTTCATTTCTTTATTTTTTGGCAACTTTTTAACTAAGTTGTCATTTTTGACTACCATACAAGTACTATTGTAGATAAATTTGTATCCTTTCTATAATAGGTACTTTCCAACGGAATAATACTTCTTCATCATGTGGGATATTAGAAGTAAAAATACTTTAAACATTTACCGTTATGTACGACTTCAGTTTCATTAATTTCAATTCTTTTAAAAATATTACTAAATATTTTTGAATTCAAAACTTATTATTAACAGTTTTCACCAGGTTTCTTTGGAACTGCTGACAAGAAAGGTCAAGTAAGTGGTATTTTTGAAAAGATAGCGTAATGTGAAAACTAGCCTACAAAATATCCTCCCTAAAAATAAATTTCAAGTGTTTTCGCATATTACGGAATTTTCTATAGAGGTCAATTTATAGGGGGTCGTACGCTTTCAAACTGAGGCAGTGTATATTTTTTCAATAGTATGTGTGAATTGGTTGAAATATGACGATGTTATCTATATGAAGTCGAGTTAGTTCCTTTCGAAATATAACAAAACAAGTCACTAAACCGGGTGATTCTCTGATAGAGAATATAAAGTGAAAGTGTGGGGCATTAAATTATTCGTAAGACAATGATCTTTCACAAAAAGCCGGCAACCTACCCCCTTTCCATTTGAGAAAATCAAGTTAACTGGAAAAATTCTTATTTGTGAAATAATTCTTAAAACGACTGTGAAGTCATAAGCCTTATAGTCGTAGTTTTCCCATGTTACTTAATCAAGAATGAAGCGATTTACACGATCCATGGCATTCTAGATCAAAAAATAAAAATTGAAAGAAAATGATTTTATTTGTGGAATATTGACAAGTGAAGTATGTTGGATTAAGAATGTCATTCTCCATCGAAATAAGTAAAAATATATAGGATGTCCCATTTAAAAATCGAAAGTTGGGGTCATTTACGGTCAAACCGGAAGTACAGCAAAGCAAGTAAATACGTAAAAAAATGTAAATTGAACAATAATACACAACCCCACCAAATTTCGTTTATCTGTCTCCAATAATAAAAAAGTTATAGGCAGTGGCGGCGCAAGATCTAAATTTAATGTGGGCAAGGCCCTCTGGTGATGCAAGAAGAAGGGTTTATAAACTAAAAAAATCGAATAAAACAAACTTTTATTCATTAAGAAACACCAAAACTTCTACTTGTTTTCTTTTTTGGAACATTAAACAACAAAATTGAAAATTAAAAAAATCGACTCAAAAGTCATAAAGAAATAATGTCTGGGTCACCGTATTAAAACCCCAGTCAAAGTGACTGACACTGTTTTTTTACTCACTTTAATTAAAGAAACAAACATTTTCTTTTTTTGCTGAACCAGATTCCCATTTTCTTGCTTTATCTCTATCTATTTTAGTGCCTAATTTGATTGATAAATTAAAAAGAATGCACCAATATTGTGTCCGTATCCTGTAACAAAAATAATAATAACATTTGATGGTAATTTTACCTTTCTTTAGGTACCTATAATTAAGACTAATGATAAGAAGAATTGGATAAAGAATTGAAAGAATTGGACTAATGAGTTTGAATATAAATTGGGTGAATATAATACATAATATTACTTTGTACATTACCTACCTACTTCAATATTTCATGTAATATATGTTTAATACAATATAATACACACAACGCAAAAAAGGTGGATTCTAGCAATTCCAGTGGAATAAATTATATCTAGACAAAATTTTTAATCATGTAATGTTTTGTGAGTGCAATAATGAATACTTCTTACCTTATTTTTGATAAATAAAATGAACACAGATGCTATTATTTTTCTTCACGACACAATCCGAATTTCTACTTACAAAACACTTGTTATCGTTTTGAAACTATGTAACACTATTATTTATTGTCACATCAAATACTATAAGAAATTATAGTATAGGAACATGGACGGAGATTGCGGCTGCATGTGATACTTTCATTGTTTTTCTATTAAGAGGAAGTCCCGAGGTTTCTGACCGGGGATTCCCCGCGATTGCCTCTCAACGCCAAGTTGATAGGTGGGAGGAAGTTTCAGGAAGTTCATGTGCTTTCGTGCGCCGAAGAGTTAAATACCTTTAGATTGAGAATTTTCTAATGTATTATCTATAAAAAACATGACGTGTACTATTGGATTTTCCATACTTTTTAAAAATTACTTTCGGCTTTGAGGTGCGAGGCCCTTTGCACCTCGAGGCCGTAGGCGGTAGCTCACACCGCCTCTGGTTATAGGGGTGAGCCACCTTAGGGAATCACCCGGTATATTGTTTTTTACAGTTCTACAAAAAAGTTCGTGATGTAATATATGTCACCTTCAAAATATAGCTTACTATGCCCATGATGTTTAAAACAAAGTGCATACGTTGTCTGTTCAAAAAACAAGGTTAATTTTGATTTTTCTCAAAAAATATTCATTTATTTTACAATTCCTATTTCGTCCCCCTTAGATATAATATTATGCCAGCGTTTTTTTCAATTCTCGAAGCAGTTCTGATACCCACGTTTTGGTATGTCTTTGAGCTCTCTCAGTCATTCGGTTTCTATCTCCTCAATCACCGGAAAACGCCGTCCTTTCATGGGTCTCCTAAATCTTGGAAATCTTTTATTTTTTGTTGAAAAAATACGAACAAACAATGTCGACTGAGCAGGTGCATTATTGTGATGCAGAAGCTATGAATTGTTTCCTCACAATATGGCTTCATATTGCTTCTCGCAAGCGGTAACTTCAACATGATAGTCCTCATTGACTGTAGGACCTTGTGGCAAAAACTCCTGATGTACTATGCCACGATAATTGGAGAAAGAAGTGAGCATTTGATCGAACTTGGCGTGCTTTTTGGTGTTGGCTCTTCTGAGCTCTTCCATTGGGAAGTTCAGACTTTGGTTTCGATGTTATAACCATGATTCCTCACCAAATATGACCCTTTTGAGCAAATCTAGATGTGGTAATTGGTAAGCTATTCAGGTCACAATCGGGTCATTTTTATTTCTTTCGGTGTTGTTTCCAGGTACTTACCTTTTCCAAATTGAAGTAGGTATTGAATGATAGTTGTGAATTTGATCAAAGGTCAAAAATTAAAATTATTGAGTAAGAGCTGATGTGAAACTAGGGCAAGAAAACGTAGAGCTACCAGTTCAAAAACCGTGTAGGACCAGTAACAATATTTTAGTGGAACCTTCCTCATATTGTCCATCGTGAGGACGTTTATGGTTGAATGATCCCAATTGAAGTTGTAGATTTAATTAATAACAATGATATAATGTTCACTGGCTCCTCTACAAAATAATGACATACTTATGTAAATTTCTATTTTAGGCTACAAGCGAAACTGAGTTAGAGTCCGCATTGAATACTGCCTTAGAATGTGGTTACCGCCACATTGACACTGCATATGCATATCAAAATGAAGAAATTATTGGGCGGGTCTTAAAAAAATGGTTTACTTCCGGTAAACTCAAACGGGAAGAAGTATTCATCACCACAAAGCTGCCGATATTTGGTGTTCACGAAGATAGAGTGGAAATGTTTATGGATCGCTCATTGAAAAATTTGGGATTAAAATATGTCGACTTATATCTCATTCATTTTCCTATAGGGTCAAATTTTGTGGAAAATGGAGAGGTTCCACTTAACCAACTTATTCCAGAGAGGACAGACCACATCGAAATTTGGAAGGTGAGTTGTCATACTGCATTTTGAAATCAGATATGAATTAAAACTTTTTCGATGAATTTGAACAGTAGAAAAAATCAACTAAAAAGCAATTGAACCAACAGTGTGTAATTTCAAATAGTTCTTATATTAATTAACTTTCATCGTTGATAAGAAATAAGACATATCTTTTGTTCAATGAATTTTCCACATATTTTTGAATGAATCATATTAGACTGGGTAGAAAAATTCTGTTAAATATTTCTTCTAATTTATCACAACTATTTCATATTATCAAAATCGCTACATTTACCCATCGATGGGTTGAATATAATTAAAAGAATAACAATTTCTGACATGTGCGAAACTTAAATATTTTTACAATGTCACAAATCACCTTTTGGGTTTGAATATAAAAGGAAAAACTTGAAACTAATGCAATGATTTGACCCTGTGAGATACCAGAGGTCAATATCTGAATGCGTCTATGCAGAGGAAGCTGAAGAGAGATTCAAAAGGCGATTTCGGTGGTCGATATCTAAACGGGGCTTTCCGGAATTCAGTTTTTTAAATATTCGTGTTTAAGTTTTCTGTTCAAGAATCGCCATCGCGTTTTCTCACAATATCCTGTTCATTTGGCTTTCTTTAATTGAGCAATTTTTTATTTGTGTTCTTGAAGCTTTACTTCCCCAAAATATGCCGATTATTATCCTATCACCATTATTCAAGGCCCACGATTGAAGTAATAACATTCAGTGTAGCATATTTATTACTTTGTACGTACTGGATAAGATATATTTTAATTTTACACACATACATTTCAATTTTCCATACATACATTATCCCGACTTATTTGTTTTCATTTTCACTTCTAGCGACCTAAAAAAATTATAATGAAGACCAATATCATACCTATCTGAAAAGTGTTTTTGTGACATAGACTCATCATATTCATGTCATATTCAAGTATTTCAAATCTAGTTTAGTTGCTGATGTATATTTGTATTCTCTCTTGCTTCCGTGATAGTTTATGGAGTGTTTTGAACATTCACTTTGTTATGCCTGTTTCTTTCAAACTTCTTTCAAAAAAACATCTGTTTCTGTATTTCTGAAATAAAATAAAGATTTGTTTGAAAAATATTGTGAGCCCCGAGAAGTCGGGACTCACAATCCAACAGAATTTTTTTTCCACTTCGGAAATAAAAGACAAGGTGCAATTGACCAAATTGGATCAAGTACTGAATAGGTTTTATATTTCATTTGTTGAATATCATAATTTCCGACATAACTGTCAATATCATTAGTTGAAATGATTAGGATAGTTAACATATTTGAACCATTCTATTGACTTGAATTTCTAATCAAAATATGAAACTCGGCTACCACTCGATCTTTAACGAATATGGTCAATTATAAACGGAACCGCAAAGATTTCCTGTGGTGCTTCTGGAAAGAAAAGTTAGAATTGAATGAATTGTCACAAATTCAGTGGAGCCAACAATGAAATATGAAATCCGGCCACTTCTTAGTCCTTATTGAACAGGGTCAGTTTGATAAATATCTTTCAATAAATTGTTATGATAATTATTTAATGTTTGTTTTTCAAGATTTTAATATAATACCACTTCGTTTGTGAGAAGAAGACAAATCGCTTCGTTTCAATGATCGACGAGAACCACATCAACATTATTATCTTTGTAACTGTCTGGGTTTGGGAAATGAGTAGTTTCAATGAATTAGACATTTCTCATTCTCCAAAAAGCATTCAATATATAAGGCAACACCGTTGTAGTCTTCTGCACATAAAAAAGTAGAGACCAAGAAAATCAAAGAAGAAGATTGTTGAAATATATGATCACATCATGCCGGATATAAGCTGAGACTGCAAATGCTGCAGAAGCTGACAGCAAATATATCAGGGTATTGAATGCATCTATAACAAGCTCATCATCTGGGGTTAATATTCACTGTTCCCATCAGGAGATTTCACCATGTTGAAGATAATATCCTAACCATAAGCATCAGCTCTTTGGATAAGTTGAAGTCTTCAAATGTCTTATAGAAAACCCGGAAAAGTACGTGTGAGGTGGTTTTTGTGATTTGGGTGACTGTTGGCAGATGCCTCGAAAAGAATATTTCAATTCCTGCTCTTCCATGGTCACGGATCATATAAAGGAGTGAATTCAAACTCCTAATGACCTCACAGGTTCCATCCAATCACATTCTGCAATATAGAAAAATCAAACTTAGAAAACCACAACCTTCCTTGTGTTGAAAGGAACAAGTTCAGATGAGAACTTCTATGAAGGCACAACATTTTCCAGGTATTTATATTATTCTGAATAGTATGTTCTTCCTCTACTGTACTGATGACCAGACTTGTCGGAGTTTGAGCTGATAGTTACCGTGAAGATAGTTCTTCTCTATGCTCATCAATTGGGAGTAGCATTTGTCTAATGCAAAGTGAGAGGACGTCTCTCCAGCAACTAGTCACCATGCACTGTTGTCTTTTATTATGACCCCTTAAATGTGTATCTTCCACGAATTCTATAACGATAGCCTAGGTGTACTCCTCCGTCACCTTCATGGAAAGATGGAGATTTTTTCCTCCATTTCAAAGTCATTCATTACCTAATGAAAATCCATGAAATTTTCACGACGCATTGTAACACATTTGTAGAAGAGAAACAAGGGCAAGAAATTCTAACATAATTTATAATAAAGATAAAAAAGCTTTTTCATGAAAGTACGCAAATTATATTACCAATTTTTGCGTATTTCAGAAAATGGAAGAACAGGTCGATGCTGGCAAAGCCAAATTCATCGGAGTATCCAATTTCAATGAGAGGCAGATTGAGAAGATTTGGAATAACTGTAGAATAAAACCAGCATGCCAACAAATAGAACTCCAAGTTTTCCTACAACAGCCTAAACTGGTGAACTATTGCCATGAGAAAAATATTGCAGTGGTAGCATATTCACCGTTGGCTTCACCAAAGTACAACAATTTTATGGCTGACCTCGGTGTAGAGTAAGTTCTGGAAGTAGCAGTAATACTGTCAATTGGTGATTTGAATTCTTTATGAAAGTAATTATTTTTTATATGGAAGTAAAGTCTGAACAGCGAAAATGTATATTTGAAAGCCCTCAAATATTCGGTCGAATACAGATGATTAGGTGTGGTTTCGTATATTTTTCTCACCCAACTCATTTTCGCTACGTGAAATAATATTATCAAAGTTGTATCAAAAATGAATGAGTAGACTTCATGAGTCAGTTAACAAAAAGATGTATATACCAACTCTACAAAGCAAACAACAATGATAATAAAGCGAAAAAAAGTAAAAAAATGCCCTGATACAATTTTTACGTGGATCCTCGAAACATATTCAGAAAATGTTTTGAAAACCAAACCAAACCAATTGACCACTTTTATTCCATAAAATAATTGTGACTTTTTTTCCAATGCGCTTTCTACCACTTCCTTATTGACGACTTAGGTTTTGAACTACTGGATATTCTGATGATTGAATCACTACTTTCAAAATTAGGGTTTTTCCTAGTAGAATGTTTTTCCTTTCTGATATTCTGCGGCCTTTTAGTTCCTTTTAGTAGGAGTTGGCATATAGAGAAAGCATCCGGTAAGATTGTTGTGGACAGTGCATCCAGATCTTAAACTTATTCGAATACCATCAGATACAGTTTTTATTAACCTGCCGATATTCCTTTCATACTATTGAGTAGCATTACTGAGACAGTGCCTTTTCTTTTTGTAGATCCTCTGTAATCATTTGTACCATGTAAATTTTTCTCTTGTGTGTGGTATATTTTCCAAGTATTTTTAATGTCTTTTTTTGATCTGATATCAATCTTGAGTTCATCAATGAATTGATTGCGTTTTTGAGTGTTTGGTAGAGATTTAAATAACAGGGTGATAATTGAAAATACTTCTGAATACTACTTACTCATACAATCAATCGCTTCAAAAACACTGCACTAACTTTCTTCGAAAGCTTCTGATAATAATTCCCCTTTCATATTCTGTTTCACTATCACGGACGTCATTTGAATCAATAATGAATTTATTTCCACCATTAATATGGAAGTGTCCAATCTCCATATAGCCTTTTTCAACTAAAACTACTTTTTTAATCCTTTTCTGCCTTCGGTAATATCAGATAGTTCTTCTTCAATTAGTTCTATTACCTTCTTATCAAATTTTGGAAAATTATTTTTACGTCTGATGCTTTGTTTCAATTATCCCCCAATCGACTCGATGAGATTGAAAACACAAAAATAGGGGGGAAGTATCAGTATGGTGTGTGCATACTTTTCAGCAATACACTTTTTCAAATGTTTCAATCTGTAAAACAACAACAGTTGTTTTTGGTTTATAATCTTCAAAATACAAATTGTTATTTATTAAAAAACTTTGAATTTCATCTTTCCTTGAATTTTTATTCGGTACTTTGATGAGCGGGGTGAGTGGCGGGGGATCACTGTCTCTCTCTTATGGGTGTTTGACAGTCCCCCGGTGCAGACCACACGGCACTCACCCAGTAAAGTAATCGGTCAACCACCCAATCCCGCGCCTGCGGGTAACAGGCGTTGGCCGGTTTCAAGCTAGATGTGTGGGAGAGGTGTCTCGCAAGAGCCCTCGGCGGTTACTCATCCAACGCTGGAAATGTAGCTTTCCTAACATGAGTGCCCCTCGGGGTAACGTAAGGGTATGCGGTGCAGACCATACGGCTTACACCCAAAAGTTGTTGATGAACCGCCCTATCCTGCACCTACACGGGTAATGGGCGCGACATCTTCGACATATGATGTGTGGTAGAGGATGCTCGAAAGAGTCCTCGACGGTTACTCATCAAACGTTGGAAAGGGAACTTTCCTAACATGAGTTCTAGGGGGGAGGTGAGTGCCCGCTCGCGGCTGGAGGCTAGCGAGCCTCATCTCCAACTGGCGTTGGCCTCTTAGGGGCAGCGGCTCCACTAGCGGGTAAAGGGATACAGGGTTGCGGTAATCCATTCATGGGTGCATTGCAGCCCCATACCGAGGCACTGGACGGCTTATGCTGTTCCGTGATCCACACCTGCCTCTGTACGGATCCAAGCGTTCGAGGTGTCGGGGCTCGCAGTCCTTCCGGGCTCTAGTATCCGAGTCTAGTCTTGGAGGGCCCCAAGGCAGACGCTTGAGGTGTCGGACCCCGGTTGGACGGAGCTACTAGTATCCGAGCTTAGGACCCCGACCGGCCACTTCCGGGACCATATTCCCAACTGATTTGGCATGACTGGCGGGGGCAGGTGTGCGACGCGAGCACTCTCTGGCGAAAGAAGAGCTTAGTTAACTTGTACGAACGTTCGGTCGAACGCTGCCGATGGTCCTGTCTCTTGGTTAGCCACACTAAGTAGATGTAAGGAGGCAACTCCGGGTTCGTTGAGCGGGAGGAAGCCCTGCGAAATCCTGTTGGTGTGGGGTGAGGGGCGGTACCCGCAAGGATTTCCCAAAAATCCACCCCTCCACACCCGATCGCATCCAACGCCAGGGTGCGAATGATAGGGTGCGTTGTCAAGAACTATTACACTATTCGGATCCAAATTCGGGATCAATTTCGGTCAAATCTGATGTTGCTTGTAATATTTTGTTTCCCTCGAAACCAAACTTGAGATGTAGATTCTTATATACATTGAAACATACTCTCTGTGTTTCAATATTCAAATGCATCCGAATCTTATTCACTGGTATCTCTTTTTCGCATTGTTCACCATCGCAATTGAAATCACTACACTGGAGAAAGTCTGTGTTATTATCATACTCGTTAGTATTAGTACTTGTCCAAGGATGCCACATTTTAAACAGTTAACAAAAATTTTAAGTAGTTATAACTGCACCAATATCGAATTTCAACACTCAATTCACGATGATTTCCTGAACTGAACAAGACAGTGATAACCATTCCCGCATTCCCGATTTCTATTCGTCACCGTAACATGACTTCAAATTTAATTGTATGACTCTTCAGCCAATCATAAAACTCGGTTAGTAAAAATCATTCAAAACGAACCGCCAAGTCTTTAGTCCACATGAACTAGTTGGAAGCCGGTTCATTTCTATGTATTGGTTTTTATGGCCTTTGAGAGTGCCACCAACTTTTAGAGTGCACAATATTGTTTGATTCGATTTGATTCTCCATTATCTACCTGTATTGGGTCACACTCGTCTTCTTGTGTTAATTCACGATATAACCGTGAAAGGATGAATTCAAAAGTGTTTTCAACTGTTGTTGTAATTTTCATTGCCCAAATTACCTCCCAAACAAGTACAATATCTAGTTCATTTATAGTAATCGATTGTTTAATCTTGGTAACTGAATATACATATGTGTCATGGATTTGACCACCATTACCACCCTAGCTTTCCTTTTTTGTACTTTCTAGAAGTTGGTTCAAGCTCTGTTTTGGATCTGTCATTACTGCTGAATATTCAACCCCCTCCCCCCTAAACTGTATATCTTAACGTGGAAGTTAACGTGGAAGTTTTGGAAGTTGTGGAGGCCTGAGTCTGTCTAAATCTTTTTTTAAATGCTATGACGATTTAAGGATATCGACTCTGGAGTCGCTTCAAACACAAAATAGATTTAATTTGATAACTAGATGAAATAAAGCTTTAAAAATAAAGTGCTTTGAAGGTATTCGAAAGTTATCTTGTGGTTACTTATTTTATTACCAAATTTCAATTTACCGAAATTGATTTCAGAAAAATGGCTCCAAAACGTGTCTTCAGACTCATGCATTTGAAATACGATTGCATAGTATTAAAAAATGAACTCTCTAGATGAATATTATTTCAATTTCATCATCACAATCCAAATAAAAACAAAATTATAATGTAGTACTTACGAAGTAGATGTGAAATCGTGAAGAAAGGAGCAATTACCCTCAAAACACTACAGCGAACTCTCTCTAATCTTACTCGTGTTCAATTTTCCTTTGTGAAATTTTTCGGTTTCTGTAGTTTCATTCAGTAGGTGACATTGTAATAGGGGAGCTCACGATGCAAAATGGGGATGTACTCGAGCGTCATAGAGACATGTTAGGTTGCAAAGCTTAGATGATGAGAAGAAAAAATGTTATATAATATATACCTTTTCATCGGTGGAGGAAGCGGCTATAGATTTTTAAATATGTAAAAAAATACTGTTGCATGGACATCCTCGAGCGCGTCAGATATTGATAGCATCAACGTCCTACGTATTTTTAATAACGTTCGAATGTTAATCTGATCGTTTGAATGATGCGGGTGGTTGTACGTAAGGGTTAAAAGTGAAAAGAAAAAAAATGTAATCGAGCGCGTCAGATTTTCTAAGGGGGTGTTAAGTGCAACAAAAAAAGCTCTCATTCAATAATCTCACGATTTCGATCTGACGCAAACTCGCGGCCATTATTATAATGTGCAAAAAAAATTCGTCATTTTGAAATACTCGAGCGAGTCAGATTGAGATATATATTGTTCATCTTTATGTTCTAGACGTGCTGTCTCATAATCTGACGATTATCTAGAGGGATTCGCCTAATCTGACAAAAAAAAAATAATTTTTTGAAATCATTGAACTTAATTAATTGAAAAGCTCAGGAAATAGCATGCAAATAAATAAGTGTATGTTTTTTAAGTAGGATACTTGTATTTATGAGAAAATATTTTTTTTAAATGCTCAAAAAAAATTAATATTTTATAATCAATTGATTAATTAATCATCATCTTCATCACGAACGAGTCTCTGTCATCAGCTGTGATGGCAACAGAATTCAGAGTGGGGACGGAGTGAGAGAGTAATAAATAGCGAAAAAGTGAAAGAGGAATAGAACCTCTGAGAGGGAAATATAGGTATCACACAGCTGCAAGCATTAAACTTTATCGACGAATTTTTGTTATTTCGGCTTGCGGAAATCATCAGATTATATATTTTTCGTTATCCTTGAATTATTTCCTTCAAAATAAAAAAAAATAGCTACGCTCGAGAATGTCGAAATGACGTTTATTTACAACTTTGCTGCCCTCTCCTTTTTTACGTCACTCTCAAATTGTCAGATTACTGGAATATACACTTTCTAGCATGTAATTTACTCACCTTACGTTAATCTGACGCGCTCAATTTTTTTTTTACTGATCTGATCCTCTATCCTTTACGGGCGGCCTTTTATATGGGGCTCATATTTGGTGGAGGTACTTAACCGGGTACAAGGTATCCCCCTGTATATTAATCCTATTAATGAAATTTCATTTGACTTCATTCAAATTAAAATAAATAATACTTTCAGGACCTTGTAAAATCGAAATAAAACTTCGTCCCTGGAAGGTAAGTGATCTAAATTTAATTTCGTGGAATGTGTAAACAAACCCATAACTTATTTCTTCAATTCGGTATCATTATTAGATAAGTGTCATTCGATAAACCCCTGCTGGTTTTGCAATTCATGTTTCTTATTGTTTTGTATAACCTCTTTTTGCAATATATATCTCACACAAATCAGTCTTTGAGTTCAGCCTTTCGTGCCTTCTTTCAAATTAATTTTTTTTAAATAATTTTACGAACACATTCGAATATTTTGATCCCTTGATTTTCAGGATAAAGGATCTCCCAAACGTCTTCACCAACCCAATAATCAGAGAAGTTGCTGAAAAGCATAAGAAGACCAATGCTCAAATAGCATTGAGGTACTTGATAGATATGGGTACTATACCTATACCGAAGAGTGTATCTCCGTTACGAATTAGGGAGAACTTTGAAGTTTTTGACTTTAGTCTCGATGCTGATGACATGAAGAAACTGAAAAACCTTGATCATGGGGAACCAGGTCGCATTTGCGATTGTAAATTTTTGAAAAGGTTTGTGTTAATCAAAAACTCGTGATTTTTTGTGGTGGACTGGTTGAATTTGCTACTTTAGTCAAATTCTGCAACTTCTCAAGATGACTGTGAATTTGCAGATAATTTTTGTATTAGAAACTGCTGCTAAACATTTGTGAATGCAGGAAGGATACCATTTATTGGGATCTATAATACGATACGGTATTTTTTCACTCTCAATAATATTATATTGGGATATAGTGATATCAAAAAGTTCAGAGATTATATCGAGTCGCAACTTACTTTCAATAATCATACTGATAAAATAGTATCATTAGCATACCGCATAAACGGTTTTCTTATTAAACATTGTAGAAATTTTCAGAATATCTCAACACTGTAACGTTGTATTATAGCCATACTACAATTAATTGAAGCCTGGGCATATACAGGGTGTCCCATATAAAACTCCGCGGGCAAATATCTAGAAAAATGAAAAAGAATATCCATATTTCGTAAAAGCAGATCATTTTGGTGTCAAAGGGTCCTCTTATTTACGTAGAGATCCAGCACTAGGCGTCATCCGTTAGGGCGTCGCGACACCGACGCCAATTGTTTTGAATGGTTACTCAATATTTTCAATTGGTTTTTGAATTATGCATTAAATTCTGAACTCAGCCATATAGCCCACTTGTAGTTTTCCTTGAATACTGATAAAAAAGGGCAATTTTTTTATTATAAAGAGGGTCATGAAAAAGTCCTAATAAATGCAATAATGTCAGATGTCAGATCTGTCAGATTTGAAGAAAGTGTATTCAGTTTTGTGTTGGTTTTTCGTAAAATTCAACAATGGTTCAATTTTCAAATGCAGAAAAGTTAGATATGATATGTATTTATGGCGAAGCAAGAAGGAATTCAAAAGAAGCAGTGAAAATATACGCTAATCGGTATCCTGACAGAAAATTACCGTAAGACAAAACATTCCCTGGCTTAGCTAAATCTTTGGCACTTAATGGATGTTTTAATGAACGGAAGCGAAAAAAACCAAAAAAGGCTACTGATGAGAATTACAGTGTTACAGTGCTAGGTCAAATGGAGTTGGAACCATATAGTTATACAAACTCAACTAAATATGTGGTTTCTACAAGATGGGGTAACTCCACATGATAATAGAATAGTTACCCAATATTTGGATGATACATTTATTGAGAAATGGATTGGAAATAAGGGTCCATACCATGGCCAGTTCGAAGTCCAGACATCACTCCACTAGATTTCTTTTTGTGGGGATATATCAAAGATCAAGTTTATATGCGACGTCCACAAAATGTAGAGGATTTGAAAAATAGTATCACAAATGTTTGTGTTTCCATAATACGAGAGACGCTTTTAACTGTCACGAATCTGGAATTACTAAATAGATGCAATATGTGTATTCTACGTGAAGGGAGGCAGTTCGAACACTTACTAAACTGTTTATTTTTATCACTAATTGATTTCGTTATCATCGTGTTAGTCGAGTTATGGTCAAATTAACATATTTTTGGTAATTTGAAACATTTATTTTAATTTGTACAGAAATATGCAACTAGATAAAATTGAACAGACAATGAAATCATGACTGATGAATTAATTTTATTAAACTCATATTATTGCATTCATTTTGACATTTATAATATGCAATTAAATTGCCTTTTTTCATCAGTAGTAGGAAAGCTACAAGTGTGCTATATGGCTGAACTCAGAGTTTAATCCAGAATCGAAAAACGAATCGGAAAATCTAGATTAACATTTAAAAAAATGGGCGTCAGTGTCGCGACGCCCCAATGGATGACGCCTATTGCTGGATCTCTTCGCAAATAAGAGGATCCTTTGACATCAAAATCATCTGCCTTCACTCTGTATAGCTGCTCTCTTTCATACAACAATAGTATAGAACCTAATTAGTCATTTTAGGTAAACAGGTAGATTTTAAGGAAAAGTAATGACTGTACAATATTAATTAGTGGTAAGCACTTGAAATTTTTGAAATGATTATTGATTATAAACCCTCAGAATTTTATGAAGAATATAAGTTATTTAATGGAGAGTTATTAACTTCTTGTTTGTCGTTTGGTAGGAAATCCCAGCAGTTTCAATTGGATCGTTCATTGGATATCGGAATTTTTTTAATCTATTGATGATTTTCCTACTTTCGAGAAGGTTAACTTTCTTCTGAAAACAAAGAGTTTTAAATTTTGTAAGAAAGTACTGTTGAATTCATTTTCCCATTCTTGAAACTACTTTCATGTTTTTTTATGCGTACCAGACTGACCCATGTAAAACATCGGACATCAAGCCCTCTGAATTTATAATGAACATAATTTTCCTATTTTTCGTAAAGTGGCAGCATTAAACAGCATGATTCACAGACTAATGCATGTTACTTTGTTTGAATTCAATGGAACAGATCGACTTTTATATGATAGCAATCTAGCTTTACTTTTGAAAGAAAATATATTCAATCCATAAATGAAATTTATCCAATTCTAAGAGACGGGAAGAAAAATTAGAGAACGTTTATTCATCTGGGGCAATCTAGTAAAAAGATTTTCAATTTCTCAAGAAAAAAGTATGGTGTCAGATAGATCAGTATTTCAAGTCCGATGTTTTAGAAAGGTCAAGCTGGAATAGCGTTAGAAGCTCGCCTAAAAGAACATAAAAACAGAGATTCAGTAATTCGGAGAAATTATCAATGATCAAATGGATTTGAATAATTCCTTTTTGTTGAAATTGTTCTGTAATGATGAAATTGGTGATTGGGGTAGATTTTGATTATTGTGATATAACGCTTAGGGCTGATTTCATCTTGTGTCCAATTCAACGAGTTTGTTTTCAGTAATCGTAGGATTTTATTAGTTAAGTAGTAAAAGGCATTATAAAATATCAGAAGCATGGTGAATGAAATCATTTAATTAGTACTGAAGAATGTATTATTAAGTGAAACTCATAATTTTCACTTTGCTCTATAAATGGTTTATTGGTGTTGGCAACAACACAGCAATATGAGCAAATTATTTATAAAATTTAGTCCTCGTGAACAGATCAGATGTTTCAATTTTTGGTCATAATGGTTTGGTAGTTTGAGAATATTTTGTAATACAGTCCCATTTCTTGAAAAATATTTCACGCTGGTTGAAACATCTATCAAATAGTGAACAAAAGTCATATTTGTGGGGGAAAATCATTTTCTTTATCGACCTGTACAAAGTTCTCCATTATAATTTTCATATTATTCTATTGAATATTTTTGAATTTCTTTTTGGAAATATTAATTGTGAAATAGTTTCAAATAAGGTGCATTTTTGTTCTGTTTCAGATTCGAAGATCATCCAGAATGGCCTTTTCCAAAATCAAATCAGTGACCTTAGAATATTTTTAAACCTTTTTCAGTAAATTCGTCCATAAAAGTGATTTTAAGCAGTGAAAAGTTTGAGAATAAATTGTGGAAGTTCAACTCACTCAGGAATTTCAATTTTTTCGTCATTTGTGTTAATTTCTTTGATTACTTCGTTCACCAACTTGCTCTGCCGTGTGCCTGAGTCAGACACATCGAGGATCATTCACTTTGATAGATAACGTCATAGTTTCTGTTTTTCACATGTTCAAGACTATATACTCATGTCACAGAAATAAAATTATATCCTAATGTCAGTATATAATTTTATTTATATGCTGAAAGACAAAATTTTGGATAACGTTAACTCTATAAATCTGGAATTTGAAAAATATGCCATAAGACTGTCACAGAATCATAAAAAAAAGAATATTGATTTCGTTGAGATCATTAAAAGGCAACAGACTTTCGGATGATATCCATAATTCGCAAATAGCACATTGGGCTATGAATAGCGATAAAAGATACAATATATCATCATTTGAATTTTTAGACCTTGTTTCTTCCAACTCAACAAAAATGTATGAGACGTGATGAAAATCAACGATCAATATTAATAATACAATGACATTTTGTTTTCGGATATCCCCCATGTATTTAGTTATAATCATAAGCATACGTCAGAATATATTTCGGAGTTTGCATCACCTCGTATACGTTCATTTCCTCGCACATACCGTCAAGGGGACTAACCAAAAAATTGATCTCCGCGATGGACGAACAAATGTTTGAGTTTGACAGTGACACTATTCGCTGAAGATTGGGCGGATACATCTCCTTTACCCGGAAACTGCAGACTAAGAGCAGGTAAACCATTAGTAAACTATCAGTTTTCTGTTCCATCCAAGATTCAAACCTGTTCGAAATCTATCAGAATGGTTTGAGGATTATCTTCTAACCATCAATCTGACGCATGCGTATTCCGTATTACTGTTTCTGTTTTATGTTCATGCACAAATTAATTATTGCGGTGACCTCCCAGTTCCATGTTGATAAGTAAATAGAATAGAGATATAAAATACTGGAACCTTCTTTTACTCTCCAGAATTACACTTGATTAGATTTATTTTTAAAGAATTGAAGGGGTTATATTTTTAGGAGTGACATTCGTTGTGGAATGTTTGAAATACAAACTGAGTAGAGAAAAGTATCTTCTGTATAATTCAGTGTTCATATAGAAGTATTTGTTTCGAAAAAAATTTTTACTCTTTCGTGTAATTCAATGTTTATATGAAAGTAGCTGTTTCAGGAGGACATTCTTTCAGTTTGTGTCTGAAAGTTACTTCTTTGCATTATCTACACATCCATGTATAGAGTTACTTATTTTCAAATTGATTACTTCCTTCCTTTCTTTGGAAGATTCCCTCATCCCCTTTTTTTGTATTAAGATGGAGTAGTAGAAAGCCAAAAACTTTCTTTCCCAAATTATTTTTAAAGGTTATGTTGAAATTCCATGCCAAACTTCAGCTGTTCCAATCAGAAATTTCAAATTAATCAGAAACCAATATTTACCAGACATGCGCGTTGTCAACGATTTACAAACAGTTGGAAATCTGTTTGTGACTCAAGGTTGGAACGAACCTTGTGACAGCATTTATGGTCCTGCGTTACTACATTCTTATTCCCTGCGTCTTCAACGAATCTAAAATAGTTGCCTTCGTTTTACTTTTGCCATTCGCAAATACGACCAAAGGTCACGAAGTAATCTGGTTGGATGCAACTAGAGAAACTCAGAACACTACACCTACTCACAAACACTCACAAACTTTTGAACACCGGAATGCAACATTATTCAATAAATACATTGAAGGTTTTCTTGAATATTGATAGGTTTCCACTAGAAACATTTCTGTGTTGATCATACCCGAACAAACAGTGCTTTTCTTTAATATCCCATTTCATTTTTTGAACGGGTCAACTAAAAAAATTGAAATTTGGGTTCATGAAATTAATGCATGAAAACTTCATGTTGAAGTGAAATTGACAGATGAAACTTTCAAGATGGCGACTGGGCGCCATCTGGGAAATGTGTGTGTTTTTCCGTTAACCAGCTGTCGCACCCCTACGAACGACAACCCTCAGAAGTCGAAACTTGTGCGAGCTAAGGATTAACGAGGTCTTACCTTTTAACGTGTGATTCCTAACACGGGTTGGACGGTAGCAAGTGAAGATCGATCGTTCAGACTAGGGCTTGAACCACCGACCAACACGGCAGTCAATTCGAGTGAGTGAACAAAGCATCCACGCCGAACCGCTTGGCTACCGACTGCCCCATCTTCAATTACTACAAATTGGCGGAACTTTCAATAATTGCCTGAATACATTGACATTTAACTACATAATATGAGGTAATAAGCTTGAGGTCAGTTCAGAAGATGCTCAAAATAGTTGCCTTGAACTTCTTGATATATGAACAGCCTATCTGATATTTCACGCCGAACATTTTCAAACACACTAACGTCAATATCTCTACAAATATTTATTATTCACTGCCGTATATCCAATAATGAATCAGTTTCAGATTCGTACACCTTTTGCTTCAAATAGCTCGTAAAAAGTCTAAAGGTGTCAAATCTGGCGAGCGAGCTGGCCGTACTTTAGGACCTCGACGGCCAATCCAACGACCGGAAAAAGTAGTATCTAAATAGTTTCTTACTTGTCTGGGATAATGTGGTGGTGCTCCATCTTGTTGGAATACAATATCCATATTGAATTCATCAGGATTCGCTTCGACGATTTCAGTGATGACAGGGTCAACAGTATTTTCCAGCATATTCAAATACAGTTCTACAGTCCTACAATATGGTTTCCCAATATTCCTGCTCGAACGTTAATTTTTTCTGGATAATGGGTATGTGTTTCCCGGAAAACGTGAGGGTTGGTGTCACCCCAATAACGGAAATTTTATCTGTCAACACTGCTGTTTGAAAAAATGTACATTCGCCACTAAAACAAATATTGTGGAGATAGGTAGGATTCCTTGCAATGGTTTGCAATGGTGAGGGTTGGTGTCACTCCAATAGCAGCTGTCGTACTGACATTTTTTGTCATAAACAAAAAATAATTCAACACACTTCATCGGGTTGTTGGAATTGCCATATGACAGATAAAAAGGAATATTTCTAGAAATATCGATATTAATGTGTTTGTCTTCAGGAAACTATTGAATGTTCCGCCATTTTGTAGTAGGTGAAGATATTGACTTCATATTCTAAGGTTGTGAAGTATTCGTCAGGAGCTTCAAAATGATGTGTCACAAGACCCTCCTTTTCATTTAATTTTTTTTCTCAGATGGGACCCAGTCGCCATCTTGAAAGTTTTATTTGTCAATTTCACTTCGAAATAAAGTATTCATGCATTAATTTCATTATCCCAAATTTCAATTTTCTGAGTTGATCAGCTCAAAAAATAAAAGGGGGGGGACATTAAAGAAATGCACTGTATATTCTACACTCTCCTGTCCAGTGAATTCATATCCTATTCTATTAAGGCAATCGAATAAGTATGCCGTAGACATATATCGAGAAACTAATGCATACAAACCCTATAATCATCACTAGACCATACACATGCGACCAAATATATAAAAACCCTGGAATATATATGGAAAACTTAGCATTCGTCAAGGCTGTGTTTAATAGTACCAATGAACTTGGGCTTGTTTTTGAATGTAATTATGCACTAAGGAAGACAAATTATTACACAGATGGATTCACTATAAATAGGATTGGAAAGTGGTATCTAATGCAATCTCTACTTCGTCATATAGATAAGCACTTTACTCGGGTTAACAAGTTTATGAAGACATGCTGTGTATCTGTAGGAAAAGAAAATGAAGTAGTTCAAACATACTCTAAATCAGATGCAGAAACAAACAACAAAAAATTTTCAGTGAATTTAGAAAACAATACTATTTCTAGTGATATTTTAGTGATGAACTCAAGTGTTGAGGGGACAAACAAACAAAAAAATTTTTTATACCCCAGACTATCACAGCTCAATCTGCAACAAATGTAAGAAAGGTTCTACTGAATAACATAAACGTTAGTAAAGATAGTGTGTGTCATGTAAATGTCCAGCGATTTGTTAACAACTATAGCTCTATCGAGGTTTTTGCTGATGAAAATAAATTGGATTTTTTATGTTTTTCTGAACACTGAATAACAAAAGATCATGGGTTGGTTTATTTGAGAGGCTATAAAGTAGGAGCAATTTATTGTCGGGAGAATCATGAACGAGGGGGTGTACTGATTTTAGTAAAAAAAAACACGAATTGTAATGAACTAGAGTCTATAAAAAAGTTATCTGTATATGTAGAGATCTGTGCAATTTTCTATCGTAAAAATACAACTAAAGTCACTATCATAACCGCATACAGACCACCAAGTGGGGACCCTCGAGTTTTTTTAAATTGTCTATCGCAGGCATTAGCAATAGCGGAGTGCAGATCTAACTTTACTATATTGTGTGGAGATTTCAACATAAATTACCTAGCACCAGAAGATAGTAACACTAAACTGCTCAGTGACCTTTTCAAGTCTTACCAACTTAATATAAACTTTATAGGCCCCACTAGGATTTTTACAAATATAAATGGACACACAAGCCGAACATGCATTGACTACATGACATCTACCTATTCAGATCATTACTATGAATGCAAGTTAAAACAACCAAATATAGCAGACCATCTGTCACATATTCTTACATTTCAGATAAATAAAAATCACGTTAAGGAAGAAAATAAAAAACAAATAGTTTATAAGCGTCAGGTAAATCCTGAAAATATAAATGAATACAAAACAAGGCTAAATAGTATAATCTGGTTTCCTCAATTATATGATATGAAGATTGATGTCAGCTTTTCATATTTCTTGGAATTTGTTTCCTGGTGTTTTAATGTCTCATGCCCAGAAAGATGTCTCACTGTAAAAAATTATTCCAAATCCTATGTTACACATGATATTATCCAGAAGGAAAAAAATTTGAGACAAATGTTTAGAAATATCGAAGCTTCTAAGTTAAACAACTTTATATCAAAACAGTTCAAAAGAACATGAAAAAACTTGAAAGAGGCTAAAATCAATTATTTCAACAACAAAATTCTGAATGCAGACAATAAGACCAAAGCAACATGAAACATTACAAATAATGAACTAGGAAGGAAGAGTAGATCATCGAACAAAATTATCAGTATTTTAAAGAATGATCGAGAAATTACAGACCCAAATGAAATAACAGAATTGTTTTGCTTACAATTTCTCAAATGCTGCCAAATTTGCAATTGAAAAAAACTTTGGTCAAAATATGTCACTGCCTTGTACAGTCTCAAGGAATCACCATATAATTCATCCTTTCCAAAATGATCCTATAAGCGAATCTGAGGTGCTAAGCACACTAAAAATATTAAAAAATAGAAAGTCTACTGGATTGGATGAGTTGTCAATAGAAACAATAAAAAAAGGATACTCTCCCGAAGAATTCAAAAAGGCATTAGTAATACCTCTTTTCAAAAAAGGCGATCGCTCGGTAGTAGAAAATTATAGGCTCTGCTCTGCTCACTGTCTAAATTATTTGAAAAAATAGTCTCAAATAGAATTACGCATTATTTGGCAGAAAATAATATACTGTGCAAAGATCAACATGGATTCAGAAAGAGTAAATCAATTGAAACTGCAACATATCACTTACTGAATTATATCTACAAAGAAGTGGATTCGAATAATTTTGTAATGTCTTTATTTTTTGATCTAACAAAAGCGTTTGACACAGTGTCTCCTGAATTTCTAGTTGCAAAACTGACCCAACTCAGGTTCCCGAATAACTTGTTACAATGGATTGAATCTTACCTCAAAGGGCGTACCATGACTGTAAAATGTGAAAATGTTATCAAGGTGCAACGACGTTAAGAATATCTATTCTGCTATGGCAGAATAGATATTCTGCTATGGCAGAACACCGAGACAGCTGTAAACCAGTATTCGTTAGGGAAAAATTATTACCGGCTCCCTCCATATACATTTTCAAATGTATAGGATTTGCTAGATCTAACATCCATGAAACAAACGCAACGGTGCACAGTTACAACACACGTTATGGTGATGTTTTGCGTATTCCAAGTCATATGTCAACGAAATATAAAAAGTCCCCTTTGTATAATGCCATGAATCTGTATAATAAATTACCAGAGCAGATCAAACAAATTACCTCTGATAAAGTGTTTCTATATTTTAAGTTATTGACATACCATATGTACATACTGTACCTCAGTGGCAAATAAATAAATAAACACAATAAGAAACTTTTAAGAAATACTCAAGTTGCATTTATTTGAGTAGCTCACTTTTTATCCTGCTGACCATGGCTCATTTCTTTATGATTTGGGCTGATACTCCGCCCGTTCACCTCAATATTTGTTCCTTTATGTTGTTATATTAGGTGATTAAGGACGTTTTATTGTTATTATTTTTTGACAGAGCCATTTCTAATATTATAGATTGAAATTTATCATTACTGGGAATTATGAAATCCTCACAATTTATAATTTCCAAACAAAACAACTATTTGTGCAGTATACATGTTTTAAAACGGTAGAAATTTTTCAACGATGTGAACTGTCAAACGATAGTGATACGTCATCAACTGCCGAATTTGAATAACGTTTGTAATACTATTTATCTTCGATATACCGAGTGCAAATTACCCCTGATCTAAATAAGAAATATCCCTCATTGAAGGTAAACATTAACTGTTTTTGTGTTCTTTTCAACTGGCACATGAAAAATGCTGTAAATATGTACGTTGTCTGTTCAAAAAATAAGATAAATTTTTGTTTTTCTCAGAAAATATTGATTTATTCATAAATTTAATTTTGTTTCCTTCAAAGTAGTTTCCCTCGGATATAATACACTTATGCCAGCGTTTTTTCCAATTCTCATTCTGCTATTCAATTTTTTTGGTATATCCTTGAGCTCTCACCGATTCAGTTTTTATCTCCTCAATCATCACAAAATGCCGTCCTTTCTTGTGTCTCTTCAATTTTGGAAACAGAAAAAAGTCGCAGGTGGGCAAATCCGGTAAATAAGGTGGCTGAGGCTTTATTACGGAGTTGTTCTTGACCAAAAAATTACGAATAAGCAATGACGAGTCATCGATGTCATCACCATATACACCCATGATTCGACACCAGTTATGACTTTTTCGAGCAAATCTAGATCGCCGTTGACGTCATTCAACTAGTCCTGAGCGATGCTCATGCGACGGTTTTTTTTGGACAAAATACAGCAATTTTTGAACGAACTTCGCTACCACACGCTTCATGCCCAAAATTTCCGAAAAAATTGCATGGCCTGAGCCAAGCGATATGCCAACATCCTCAGCAACTTCTCTAATAATGATTCAACGATTCTCCATAACAATTTTGTCCACTTTCTCATAATTTTCATCGTTCGTTGGTTCACAGAGCGAGCGTCTTCATTCACATCTTCTCGACCTTCTGTGAAAAACTTATACCACTTTTAAACAATCTTGTGACTCCGAGTACAATCACCGTATGCCACTGTCAACGTATCAAGTGTTTTTGAGCACTTGATTCCATTTTTTTTTATTCAAAATTTGATGCAAATTCTATGATCCATTTTTTTCGATTGCAGATAATCGCCGAACACGCTAACCACTTCTAACATTTATGCCTCTCACCAACAAACTGAACATGTAAACTGATGAAACTGTGAACATATGTTCGAGACAAGTGTATTTACCTACAAAATTCCAAAAAAAAACGAGTACGTATCCCGCGAAATGTGAACATTCACCTCATTTTTTGAATAGTCCTCGTATTTTATTGATGTTAATAATGTGCCTGTAATCTTTCGTCGCCCGAACTGTAATTGATATCTGTTGAAACCGTCATGTAGAACCCATTTTAAATGTGACAGTTCATGATTCAATTTCTTTTTACTCGCAAATGGAATATTTTCTCAAAGTCGTAGAAAAACATTTACTTACTAATTATCGAACGACTCAACAGCCATGTAACCGCAACCTTGAAATGCATTCTGTCAAGTTTACCGTTTCTCGTTGTATGGTTATCAGTTTCGTGTTCAGTTCAGACTCAGTTTCTCAGTCACTCGGCATTGCTTGTGTAGTTAAAGCAGTCAGTGGGTCAATCGTCAGTTATCATTCAGTGTTGAATCATGGCAGCCAAAATATTTATGGACATGCCTAGCGGTTCAAAAATGCCCGCTATAGGTCTAGGAACTTTTCAGGTTAGTGTCAATGTATTGGTATTAGATTGTATAGTTTTCGCCAGTATGCATCATTTGTAAAACATATTAGATAAAACTATTGTTACCTAAGAATCAAGAAAGAAATAAACTTTCTGTATGATTATTTTAATTCGTTTTTGACAAAATGACGATTATTTCAAATCGGAAAAATAGTAAAGATACAATGTATAATACTCAAAATGTTTTATGTGTGTCTATACTAACAACAGTAATTATTATAGACACACCTGAAGAAGCTATTGTATAACGAAACATGTGCTGAGTTTTTGTAAAACTGTTTAGTGAAAATCTCCCAATAAATTGTTTCTCGAATACCACGGATTTCATCATGTATCATTTTATTAATTGATTGTAAACATTCTCAAATGTATATACCGGCGGCCCATATTTTTAGATAGAATACCTGTAGGCCTACGAAGTTTTTTAAAACATCGAAAAACTTTTTTCAAACTGATTTCAAGGAAATTGATGATATTTTTAAAATCTATGAAAATAATTTTGAAATTGAATCTCATCTTATGATTATACTTAATTTTTAATCATTGTTTCATCTTTCATTGTTTAATGATAATTCAATCGAAGAGTTGTATTATGTTTGTTAACATCATTCGTTGTATTTTCTGAATCAGTCTTATAGTCAAAGTAACCGATATAGTAATCTTAAAGGTGTCGGCGAAGTCAAAGGAAAAAAAACCATTACAAAAGAATTATGCCGCAACGAATTAGTGCACGTGGACTGAAGAATTGGCGGTTCGTATTGGATAATTTTTACTAACCGACTTTTATGATTGGCTGCAGAGTCATAAAATTAAATTTGAAGTCATGTTACGGTGACCAACAGAATGTAGCGATGAGTACTGCCGTTGTGTGTGTGTTATTAAAGGGGAACTGCTGGAAGGTAGAGGGCCACTATATCTTTTACTTGAACTATACGATGAAATGGGTATCAAATTTATTTTAAAAACAAATCACCACCCCTGAAAAGTTTCATTTAATTACCTCTGAAGGCCTGTTAAATTAAATAATTAGGTTCCACTTGTCTATGTAATAAAAGAAAATAACAAAAAATCCTTCGTGAAAATATTGAAAATATTTAAGCTTGTTCCTGCGAAAATTCTCATAGCAGCATTGATAACTCAAAACTACAAAATAATCGCATAACATATATGGGAGTGGTTTTGATATAATATACGTTATGTATCGTCAAGGGTTCATAAATATTGATATTTCAAAAACTAAAACTCACGATTTGATCTCCACAAACTTTGTTCACAAATTTGATCTTCACAAAGTTTGTGGAGATCAAATCGTACGGTGTAGTTTTTGAAATTACTATGGATCTTTATCGAGTAACGGCCGAATCAATCAGAAAAAATTTTTTTATTATTATTTCTCATCACAGAAGTGGCGCCGGTCGGTTCCTTTTCCAAAATCTCCTATACAACGGTAAGAGCGCCAGTTTCAAACTAGTGATCACTTTCCTCACCATGAGAAAAGTGATCATTAGGTCCGAAAATGGTGTGCCTTGGCTGGAGGCATTGAGCCAAGAATGAGAGTCTTCTGCATTTTTCCAATTGCGGATTGTAAGAGAAAAATATAGATATTTAATTCGTTCTTCCTTTTTTGGGATAATATTTGTCACACCCGAAGCTGATGATCATCGAGGAGGACTACGTATTTCTCATTATATTGTGCCTGAGGGTGGTGGATGAATCATATCACGCAATGGATTTCATTTTTTTTTCCGGAGCATTAGACACTCCGGTGTCTCATCAATACCGTAATAATTTTGAAGGTAATGAAAATTTCAGTCGCTTCGCAGAAGGCCCTATATTTAAATATAGATACCTACCATCCTCTAGTCTGAAATGAGTCTGACAATATATCGGGTGTTTCATTTTAAATGTTATTTGTTTGGTGTGGCATCATTTGGTTTCGAATAATTCCAAAACACAAGAAAGACAAAATTATTAAGGCTTTCGCGGCCGAGGTTTTCAGTATCACTATTTTTATTTGAGTTTGAGGGCCGTCGATTTTTAGAAGAAATTCGAAAAATCGACGGCCTTCAAACTCGAATAAAAATAGTGACATCAGGTAGAATCAAAACTAAGACTAACTCAGACAGAATCCAACAAAACTTCGCCCATCCACCGGAACTGTTGGACTATTATCAACGCGCGTAACATCAACCAAATTAGCGTCATCAGGATATGCCGGATATCAGGATAAGCACGCGCTAATTTGACTAGCCACTTTAAGTCAAGAAATGCGTTATTGTCTGAAAATTCATAACTTATTGACAAATAATGGTTAAAATAATTGAATTCAAAAACAAACAAACAAAATTACACATATTAGCCGTCGCTACTTAGTCATATAAAACCATAAACTATAAAATAATATACATTTTCAAGTAGATACCGAATATATGTATGTTTAACAAAATAGGGCAGAAAAAGGTAACAGAAACAGATTGTATCTACTTAGCACACAATAAAACACTTTAGGAAAATAGCCAGAAATAATGTATTTCAGAAATTTCCAGTATTGATTACATGAACTGTATTGAGAGTCAGACACAAGTCAATCAATCACTCAATCATGCTTTATTGTCCAAGAAATCCTTATTGACAAAGCTAGTGAAACTTTATGAAGTCAACATTGTTGAAGGTTTCAAAAAATATTAAAATTATGATAAACAGTATACAATCATTATAGGGTTAAAAATGTACATATACGAAAACACATAAATAAAACAATATATAAACCATTACAGATATCTAAGCATATGAAATACTAAAGAGTTAAAATACATCATCGTAATATTCCTTTAAGTCATTGTAGGCTTTTTGCAGAAGTACTCCTTTAACTAATTTTCTGATTTTTTTTCAAATTTGCTATTGTCCTATAGCACATTGGAAGGTGGTTGTATATTTTCTTGTTTTCATATATCAAAGAAGATTTTGTAATTGCTGATTTTGGGATTGACAAGGGTGAATTCCGACTTCCTCTCGTGTGGAAACGTCTGTCAATATTTACTGTTGAGTTTGAGTATTTTTTGTGAATTAGGCAACGGTTTCTGAAAGGAATAAACAACGTGCAGTAAGAATTTTCTGACTGATGAAAAATAGTTTGCAGTGGTCTTGTGATTTTGCCCTACATATGTATTTGATACATATGAATTTAGTAGTTGCTAACTACAAAAGCCCCAAAAAGCAATTCCATATCTCGAGTGCGACTCTATCAAGGAAAATACATTGTTCTGGCTAAGAATTGATTTAGAAACAACTCGAACTGCATAGCAGCCAGATGCTATTTTTTGCATAAATTTGTTATATGCTCATCAAATTTTAATTTAACATCTATAAATACCCCTAAAAATGTTGTGTGAGTTTTGTTACCTATAGCGTGATTTTCTATAAGTAAGTCGTCAAAATCAAGTTTGAAGCAAACTATGTTTGTTTTATTTGTGTTGAAATATAAGGAGTTTGAATCGCACCACTGTTTAACTCTATAGAGATCCAGAGTTATGATGTCTCTGAGAGTATCTTCATTTGTCTCATGAAAAAGGATCGTAGTGTCATCTGTCCCTTCAATTTCAATGGTTACCAGATCATTCAGATAAAGCAGAAAAAGGATAGGACCCAGATCCGAACCTTGTGGTATATCTGATATATTATTCTCAATAAGCGATTTATTTCCTTGAAGTTTTACTAACTGATTCCTGCCTGTTGGATAACTGTAAAGCACTGAAGTTTTAATAATAGTGTTTCATGGTTCACGCAGTCGAACGCTTTTGAGAAATCACAGAATACTGCCCCTATAGATTCGTTATCATTTAAACCAATATATATTCTTCCAGAAAAGAGAAGATTGCATCGCCTGTGTTTTTATGGCTTTGGAATCCATATTGAGATTCGCATAGTATGTTATGATTACTTAAGAAGTTAAGCAGTCTCTTTTTAACCAGTTTTTCAATTATTTTTGAGATTGTCGGAAGCAATGATATAGACCGGAAGTTTGATGGATCATTCATTTCACCATATTTATGAAGCGAAATGACTATTGCTATAGTTTCAGACATGTAGGAAATCTGCCAGAATGAAATTATTTATTAATGGCCTCAACAAGAATATTTAAAGCGTACTCTGGGAGATTTTCTAAAATTTCAGGTTCAAGTAAGTTTAAAGAAAAAGTTTGGGTCTTATGAAATAAACTGCAAGAAAAAAGTATATTGTTAAACGAAGTATCGAGACTCGTTACAAGTAAAACGCAACACACTTTCCATTTTATAGACCAGAAACATCCAGTGTGGTTCAAGACACTTTGGAAAAGGATCATATGAGATTGAAAGATCTTTGCTTGAAATTATTCAGAATGTCAAGTGAATTTGGAGAATTTGAAACAAATTAAATTGTGGCAGATTACATACAAACATCGACAAAGGTTCCATTTCTAATAGTACATTGATCATCAGTCTTTTATAAACCAGTGCATTACCTCTTAATTAATCCTGAAAGTAGAACTAAAAGTGAAAGTAAAATTTTGTTACATAAAAAATAGGCTAAGTCACTAATTAGGAATTAGTTCAAGATGTCAACTTGGTAGGTGAAACATGCTTCAGGAAGAGTGTTACAGTTCCGCTGTTTGGGATCGCAATCAGAATCATTTTACAATAGTAAAGATGTACTGTTCGATATTTTTTAATGTTCACCTCAAGAGAGTAACAACTGCAACCTTGTATACAACAAATAACATACTAACGTATTCCAAAAACACTTTATTGTGAGATTTTCACTTCACTTTCAACTGAAAGACACGCCAGATGAAGCCATTGTATGGCGAAACACGTGTTGCGTTTTTGTAAAACAATTTAGTGAAAATCTCACAATAAAGTGTTTTTGGAATACGTTAGTTATGGATTTTCATCAAGTATCGGCCGATTCCATCATATAAATAACATACTAACACTTAATATTATATCGTTGATATTTTGAAGGGTTCTTCTCGAGTATAGCAGGTAACAAAATTTCTGAACAATCCCACACAGGCACACACTTGTGCACACATTGAGCGTAGGTTCTTAACTACCTTTCCCTCAGTAAAAGTTATTCTCAATTTAGAAGACACCCTCTCATGACTGATGACTTCTTATCTCATAAACGAGTATTTAGAAAAATGAATTCTTAGGAATATTTTCCAAACATTAACCGTTATATGTAACCAGCGTGTAAGACAATTCTAGAAATTGTTTTTAAAACACATCGATTGAAACTCATATTCCACATAATAATTTTCAACGTTCAATATTCGTATAATGCTTGTTTTTGATACCGACGAAGAATAATCAGAGTGTCAGTAATACCTATATGTAAAAGAAATTCTCACCTAAAATGAATATACCCTAAAATACAATCTAGATTCGAAGATTAGAGGTACTCGTCCAAGGAATAAATGTTAAAATTAATAATGTTGTAGTGCGAATTGATTAATTTCGTCGAAACTACAGCAATAAATTTCAATACAAGCTACTGGAAGTAATACTGATTCGGTATCGCAATTGATAATGGACTCAAAGAAATGAATAATGTTGAACTTGAATTCAGAATACTAGGAAAAGTTTGCATTAATATGTATACGAAAAATGAGATGTCTTAATATTCAATGAAGACAGTTTCTAAAGGAATAAAATAAAAATCAAAATTAATTAGTAACATGAACAAAATCAATACTTAAATCTCACATTTGGTAACTAAGAAAAGAGTACAGTAAGATACCGAAAAATAAGCATTCCGAAATTGGTGGAAAATTACAGCTTCTGTTCTTACTTCTGTTACTATATATAACATAACAGAATCACAAATGTGATTCTGTTATGTTATATATAGTATTCCATGTTCTTCTTGTAATTCAATTTACATTGGTGAGACCAGTCGTAATCTATCTGGGAGAATCACTTCACATAAAAGTGACTGCAGACTAAACAAACGTTCCTGTGGACTAGCTGAACATGTTATCTCTTCAGATCATGTTATGGATTATCAAAATACTAAAATTTTAACAGTTGAAAATAATAAATTCAAAAGGCTTTTTTTAGAAATGGTTCACATAAGTAAACATAATAATAATTTAAACAAAAAATCAGAAATACAAAATTTAAGTCAAATTTACAATTATATTTTAACTTTTGATAAATGAAATTGAACAAATAATTTCAAATCATATCAAATCCCCGTTATCAACTAGTTCGAGGTTTTGCCAATCTTGTATTGGTGTTCCTGAATCGGTATATATAAAATTCAGAATCTCCATCTTCTACCTTTCAGTACTCACTTTATATCCAATTTCATTCATTTCAGTCAGTAGAAACTGAATTGGAAAATGCGTTGAATGCAGCTTTGGAAGCTGGTTACCGTCATATTGACACCGCTTTTGTGTATGAAAATGAGGTTGTCATTGGCCGAGTGCTAAAACAATGGATATCATCTGGGAAGGTGAAGAGAGAAGAACTTTTCATAACGACCAAACTGCCTATTTGTGGTGTTCACGAAGACAGAGTAGAGCTGTTCATCAAGAAATCATTGGAGAACCTACAACTGGATTATATCGATCTATATCTTATACACTTCCCAATCGGTACTAATTATGTAGAAGGACATTCTGTAACACCTCCGGATCAGGTCAAATTAGAGAAATCTGATCATCTTGCAATTTGGAAGGTATGTACAAAATATATCATTGACAATTGATGAGGATTGAATTATTGTGACGTAGTTCTATATTGAATAATTTTTTCAAATATTCAAATACTAAAAATGATTCTAAAATAAGGATGCTTAAAAAATATCGTTTGAAATCTAAAGAGAAAATATTTGTTTGTTTGTGATGGGTGAAGGTAAAAACTAGTTTTCATTTTTGAAATGTTTATTATCTTCGAGTAAAATGGGCTGTATTTAATTTTAGAAAAATAAGAGATCCTAATGGAAAATGCAATTAAGTGGCGTCGAGGTGTCTCTCAAATGCTATACCACCGCCCGGCTCCGTGCGAGGTTGGCCCTTGTTGTTTGTTTTTTTTTAACTGACCTTAGCAATGAGTTTTTCTAATAATTATCCCCTCAATTTTTCCCCAAGTAAATCAAATTTTTCAGCAACCTAACGACCGCCCTGGTTTAGCAGGGGTAGAATTTAAAATTGTTAAAATTGTTATTTTTTAGCATATAACTGTTACTACTTCATTTGTTCTACATTTTATCTTTATACAATAGTTTTTTCTCGCGACTTTACGAGTATAACTAATTCAGCCGTGCAATTCCCGATCTCGTGGAGATATTGGAAACAGTATCTTATGTAACTTCGAGATAATGTAGCTGACCCCCCAGCTTTGCGCGGGTAGATAGATAGAAAGATAAATCAATACTTAATTTGGACAAATAAATCAAAACACCTCCTCACACTTAAATTTTTATAGCGACCATTTTCACTGGTGGCTATGTAGTTGGACAGGTAAGATAAGTTTGTTTTACCAAAGGAATGTTGGATTTATGGAAACATGAGTTATTAAAATACGTATTTTCAATTCACACTGTCAAAGTTTGAATAATACGTAGTTACTACAAAGCCAAACTTGGGATTTAGTTGGAATTAACCTAGGAAAAGAACGTTTTACTTACTCATGACCCATTGTACATTGGCATATCGTAGGTTAAAGCACACGAAAATCTATTCATTTTGTTTGCTTTGTTAAATAGTACCTATATGGTGGACCAATACCTAATAGTATACTACATAGCTTGTTGAAATAGTATTTTATTAGATTTACTTGACTGTTAGATAAGACAATATTGTTAAATTGTTTTAAGACAATGAAAACACAGGTGTACCTAGCAGAGGTACACCTCGGGTATGGTATAAATAAGGACAATATTGTGTGTATATTTAGTTTATTATTCCTCTTGAAGATGACTACTTCGTGAAAGAAACACGTGTTGTGTTAAAAATAACGGTTTGGTGTTGGGATTAAACTCCAACTTCATTGTCTTGAAAGTCTTCTGAAAATTTTATCATGAACAATTATCCTACGTATTGTCTCCTTTAATAATGTTCACAATTCCATTTTTGAGTTTTTTCTCAAATTTGATGATTTATAATTTTGATACACATTTTTAATTTCTGGATAACATATTGATTTTGATAACCTACTGTTGTGAAATAATAAATAAGTTATTCTCAAGGTATGAACAATAATCATATTATTTACATAATATAAAATGCAGTGTTTGATACGACAACATACCTTTCACCTGATCAAAGTCACTTTGTGATATTTCAGGTATTTTAAAAAGGTGAACTCCTCTCAGTACAAACCTTCGTAATGATCATCCTATTTTCATTTTTTCTATCCGCGTAATGTTGTTTATATATAAATGTAACTTTCCAATATTAGTGGTCGCAATTCAATACTTTCAACAGTATATTTATGAATTTTTTTTTCATATCACGGACAGATAATATGAAGGTTTTTCAATACAGGAAAGTTCTGAGAATAATGCGTTTGCAAAACTTAGAAAGATTTATAAACCAATATATGCGTTGAAGACACTTTTATTCACAATTGCCCCTGAAAATGTTGAAGAAATTCATAAAGCGAATGAAAGGAATATTCAATAAGATATTTCTTCATGGCATAGACATGATAATTTGGACTAGCCGTGACGTCATTCACATATATTCCCTTGCGGATCATACAACGTCTTGCCCACTACGTCACAACACCATCTGACAAATCAAATCCCAAAATTTCCACAATGGAAATATGCAACACTTAAAACATCATGACCTTGTACCTGACGTTAAGTGTATGAGTTACGTAAATGCCAAGATGTGAATCTCTTCATCTGTTTTTCTCTTGTTGAAATCAATGTTCTCTCTTCAATGACCAGTCCATTTTACGACGTCACTGCTCCAGGAATGTTTTGAATTAATGATTATTCCCTGAGTTCAGGAGAATCAATTTGTCTTCGCAACCAGTTTGAATTTTTCTGCTGCTCTAAAGTTGATAGTAAATTTGTGGAGTATCTTACTTCACTAAATTTTACTTTATGTTTCTATTTTCTAACAGTGAATGATACATGAACACACGAATTGAAATGGCTCATGAAATTTTCTAAAATTAAATCGAAACTGTTAGTCCGGGAATAACTGATGAAATTATGTCTATTGAATGAAGTTTTGAATTCACACAATTGTAATTGATTTTGTGTTTTATAATCTGATTTTTCAATGATTTTAATGGACGAAACAAATTCTGAATTTTGACCAAAATGGTCAGCAATACTGAACCTTACTTGATTTAGGTTTGTTACTACATAATCGAGACTTTTCTTGCATTGATCAGTTCTTAGAACGAATCCACAAATCCTAACATTTTGGAGGAATTTTCTATTTTTGATATGCTGTATGTTTTAAGGACTATTCATTGAATGTTATCGTTAGTCAAAAACAAAATTTTTAATGTTTGAATCATATTTACAGAGCCATCAATATTTCATCACTCGAAAAAAAATATATCAAGTGGTCCTCCACTAATGAAAGGTGGAGGACCATAACTATAGGCTCATTTCAGCAGCTTCGGAAAGAACGATTTCTTTCCTCAAAACATCATAATCTTTATTTCATCCACAAAATTCATACACAAATGTAAACAATAGAAATTACTTACATCCTGCAAGAAATAGTCAGCTACATAAAAAAGTAATACAAAAGACAAATGTAAAGTTTTATCATAACACATTAAAATGTATAGAATGTATAAAGTAAATAAAATGTATACTACAGCCATTATATAAATATGTGATCATCTTAGAATTTAAGGAATTCATCCACCTTGTAGAACATATTGCTGTAGAGAAACGAATGCAAATCAAATTTAAACCTCATTTTACTAGTATTCGTATCAATAAAAGTTTTTATTTTATTGAAACATATTATGCCAATATAGTTTGGTGAGTTTTTGCATATCCACCTCTTCCTTCAAAGCATGCCTTCATCCACAAAAGAGCTCATAGTCGCCTCTCCAAAATCTCAAGATCTTCTCCACAAAAAGAAAACAGCTGTGGTCATTAACTCATTTTTCAAAAAACCTTGCTGGAAATCTTTGAATAGATTGTAGAGAGTAAAATATTTGTATAATTAATTCTGAAACGCTTTCAAAAAATTTGGAAAATGACGATGACGAAGATCTATAATTTGAAAGGATATCTATATCTTCTTTTTAGTGAAGATGTATAACAACTATAGGTATAGTTTTTGGTAACCTGAAACAGCATCTGTATATCTGTACTGTACTTCAGAATGTTTGTTTCAATTTTTAGTCTGAAGTGATTATTATTCATTGCATTTTCAATTTCAGAAAATGGAAGAGCAAGTCGAAGCCGGTAGAGCCAAAAATATCGGGGTTTCCAATTTCAATGAGAACCAAATAAAGAAGATAATAGATTCTGCCAAAATCAAACCAGCTTGCTTACAAGTTGAATTACACCTTTCTTTGCAGCAGAAGGAACTCGTTGATTTTTGTCATCGAAACGGATTGGTTGTTGTTGCATATTCTCCTTTGGGATCACCAGGCTTCAATACATTTTTAGAGAGTCTTGGTCAGGAGTAAGTTGATTTTGAAAAAAATAATAACCCTTCAGGTATAGTTGAGTTAGCAAATTATTTTTCATCAACAGAACTTTAGCCATGTCAACATTCCATGAGACTTAACAATTCACATCATATTATTTCCAGTCACTCCATACAATGATTAATATTTTAAATTTAAGTTTGTTAAAGCAAGAGTTACTCAATTACTCGAAGAAGTAATAGGTATAAAACTGAACAGCTCGGATACCAACATACCTTCAATGATTAGCGTTTACTTTAAGTACCTGTTTCTCAGTATCCATTAGCCATTTTAAAAAAGAAATGATCATAACTTTCCAAGCACTCATTCAAACAAACTTCATTTGTTCATTAAAGTAAAAAATAATACTATAAAAAGTAAATACTCGACCATACACTTTGAACTTTCCCTTTCGATGAACTTTCAATTTTATTTCTATGAGAATATTGCAATGAGTTTCACATTGATTATGTACCTTCCTGTGTTATGGTTTATGAAAAAAACAAACGATTGTTTTGTAGATTATATCTATCTGGCAACATCGTGAGAATGTAATTTTCAAACATTGCTCTATGTTTCATTTTTATGAGTTCGAAGGATTTCACACGAACAAATGATAGAGGAGGATGATGATGGAGAAAAATGCATTTGTTGAAAATCTTTTACAATGTGCATAGTCATATGCAGTTAAACGCGTACAGTTACAGTTGAAAGTGTAAAAATCACAATTGTGCCATTTCTAATGAATCAGCGTTCACTTTTGTACAGATTATGGTTTTTACAATCCAGGTAAAATAAGTTGAGTACAGTCGTTAAATATGGAATAAATTTGGTAACGTGGAATTTTGGTAGTATTTTAATGCTAGGGAAAAAGGTTTTGGCTGTCTACTTCTTCATCTTTATACAAAAAATCTAAAGCGCTCGATTGCATAATTGCTCAATTCAAGAAATAAATAAAAGTTTCATCAAACTAGTTTATCCAACATTTAAACATCATATATGTATATACAAGTTTCTCTGGAAAATATGGTATTCTCTCTCACAGAACTACTTTCTCATCGATGAAATGATACAACTCCTCAATGGATTCCATCATAACTCTTCCCAAAATACTTTCTAAAATCTGATAACAACTGATGAGGTCTAAGGCAGATTGAAACAGCGTTGTCTGTTGTTTATGAGGAATACTTTGTTTATGGGCTTGAGTTTCAACTACTTGCCTTGCATTAAAAGCTGCAGAGAAGAATATAAGACAAATTGCATTCGGCAATCGATGTCGCAACTTGGCTTTTCAACTGATCGCCTTGGGCAGCTTCATTCAATCTTTGATATAGATTGAGTCTTCTGTCGATCTCATAGATGGCGTTTTCAATATCGAAGTTGCGCATGCCAACTCGAATTCATATTATATTTAATTTGAAATACAGATTCCAGTAAGGTCTTTTTGTAAATTTGTCATTTCCTCTTGATCTAGCTGTGCAAATATGAAAATCAAGGTGGCAACCCCTAAATGTCTTAATGATCACGTTTAGTCCCGAATCGCTTCATATATTCGTCTTGACAAATGTTTTTTTGTTTTAATATTGACATTTTTTTCAGAGCCATTCCTTTACCAAATTTGCTGCAGAATCCAGATGTGAAGAGAATCGCTGAAAAACATAAGAAGGCAAGTGGACAGGTGATGCTGAGATTCTTGATCCAAAAAAATATCGTACCAATACCAAAAAGTGTCACTGCTTCTAGAATCAAGGAAAATATTGAGGTTTTTGATTTCTCCCTCGATTCAGAAGATATGAAAGTACTGGAAAGTCTCGACGTTGGCGAAAGAGCAAGAATATTTGATTTCAACTTCTTTCCATTGTAAGTTAATATCTAATCGAATAGATTCTATAAAAATATTTTCATCCCGGTAAAAGCTTTGGCCTAAAATTTTATGCAGAATCTACTAACACTGCTGAATCAAATCGATATTTTTTTCAGGTTGAAGGAGCATCCTGAATGGCCATTCAAAAAATAAACTCCACCAAACCATGTACCTGAACTGAGGGTTAGGTATTGTTTCGAAATCATCATTCGTCCATTACAAGTAAACAGTAGATATTAATCTCCTGCAAATAGAACTGATCTATATTTCAAGTAACTCTTTTGTAGATACGTTACATTCACATAAATAAATATATGAAGTATTGAAATGATTGTTCAATATCTTAGACAACTTACAATTATTTTCACCGGAAATTTTTTATAGATTGGAAGGATGCTTTTCTATAACAACGTTTTTGACGTTTCCAAAATCGATAACAAAAGTAATTAAATTTTCGCTAAGGAATACCTAACTTTTGAGCCCCTTCAATTATTTACCTATTATATCATAGAAGACAAAATATTCGTTCACAGGGTGTTATTCCCAATATTCTGACAATAAACATTAAACTATTTATCAAGGAATGGTGTATACAGTATTCAACAAGCCTTTCAAAATCATTCTCGTTTACAAACACTCTGGTACTCGAAAGTAATTTCTCGAATTGAACAGAAACTACTTCTTCTTGGAGAATCCCTCTATACCTACTGATCATTGATTTGAATGAGTTACGATGAATTCAGGCATTCTCAAACATCTCATAGTTTGATTAGTAGTCAATAAGCCCACAAAACGAAGTTTAGTTTTTTTTTTAAGGTGGTTGACAATGTTTCGTGATGTATTTCATCAGTTTGGACTTCCATTGTCTAATATAATATAAATTGATTTGAAATCCCTGAGCAAAATTGAAAAGATTAACTGAAAATAACAATTTTATCAAACAACAAACTGAAATTACAAAGAAATAACATAAAAGCAACAACCAATAAAATAAAAAACTGAAATAGTAATAAAAGCTGAAAAAATATTAACGAAAAATTAAAATATTCCAAACCAACTTACGTCACAACGTTTCGATTGTTAGTATCCACAATGGTGGATACTAACATGAGGTTCTCACAAGAATTGGAATTGCCACTTTTACAGCGACTGGCACGGCTATATACCTTCAGTGGGTAAGGAACCGGTACTGATACTGCATGGTTTCTGTAGTAAAAAAATAATTGTTATGGTCATGGAATAGTTTTTTCATTTCCTGAGTAAAGTATACATTCACAAAGACTGGTTTTTTTCACCCCCAGCGGAACCGGTCTCGTCACTTCAACAGGATACGGCCTGGGTACTTCGACAGAAACGCCTACTTCAACAGGTACCGCATGATGCACTTTGACGGCATATGGTTTTGGAACTTCAACTGGAACATTTACTGGAACTGGTACAGGGGTTTGGGTACTTTAACAGGGTATGGATGGTTTATTGGTATGTGTCGGTTCACTACCATGGTGTGGAGTATACCGGTTCTGGTACTGCTGGTGCATGGTTGTAGTACTGACCTCATGGGTGTGAATGACTAGAAATTTGAAAGTCAATGAATTTTAATTGAATAGATACCATGAAAGCTTATTCATCTACTACAAAATTACTGTTTACCTTGAGAATTGGGAACGTATCCTTGAGAGTCCCACAATATATTCCGTTTCGGCTTTGATTCATCATTGATATTATTTTTACTATCCGCAACTCCATATACCGGTTATATGGCGATGACAGAACTGAAATTGAAATGAATATTTGCTTTCTACCATTTATTCGCTAGTGAAATTTCATAAAAATGTGTGAAAAGTTTTGATAGTAGTTGAATTTTTATCATAGCTGAATGCAAAATGCAAAACTCCAGTTTTTAGTCTGAAAATTGTCTTATCATTATCATGGATAGTGTCACTAAATATCTTGATGATGGGAAGTTTCCCAACAGATGAATAATAAGTATAGGTCCAGTTAGATGCAGCACCACTTTCCCATGGAATTCTTCATTGTTAAAGTTACGGCGGTTCAGTTGAAATGCTGCAACACTCGTTTGGGAATTTTATTCGAGGCATGTTTGCATTATTCGTATCGGAACTCTGTATTAAGATGTCTTCTATATTCACGAAATCATCGTTCAACTCTAACTAGTTAGAACCGACAAACGCAGAGTCGCTAGACATTAAAACAGAACGATTGAATATTCATCTGGGACGTTACTGCAAAATGCACTGAGGTTGTTGAAGTCAATTGTTAGGTCTACATTAACCCGATAATTCCAAGTGTGACAAAGTATTATGCAATGTATGGATAGGTTTATATTAATCAAATTAATTAATCAAAAATTCTAATTACAATATTCTTGGTGCACAGAATTTTTTCTCAAACTGGTATTCTGTTTCATTTGATTGTTCATTGAAATTGTAGAATACACTAGGTATATTAAAAAATCAAATTATTTAAAACACTCTTGAGTTTTTTTGATACTTTCAGTGAATCATTCAATTTTCAATAACAATTATACGAATTCACTGCTTTCAACCTGTTCATGACCCGTGAAAATTCTATTGCGCATGCGAAAAATCTCGTTGTAATAATTCGCGATACAAGAGAATTTCACTTCCATGAAAAAACACCATTATTACTGATCTATGCCTGATATGTGTTCATCACATAACTAATAATTATATCGAGCTAGAAAGCCTTTAGAAAACGGTGAATGGAGAATTCGTGTGATCGCTGCAACTCTGTAAGTGATACATTAACAGTGGAGGTACATAAATCAATTTACGTATCAATTCCTCTTTCCTCTTCTCCTCATTACATTGTTTTATTCTAATCTCAAGGGTTCATTCTGTTTTTCCTCTCAACTTTCCATTCCCTGTACTAATTAGTACATGTCCTTTGTTGAAAGCTTGTCGAGCCCTGCAGTGGGGAGTTATAGAATACCCCACCCACGAGGCTCCACCATTAGTGGTTAAGATTCGTTCTAAGTGGCACCTCCTCAAAAGGCGTATATATCGAAAGTATAAATGATAAACGAAATCTTCGAGATACTGGACGTCCATTATCCAGCTACCCTTGGAACCTTTTATTGACCATGGAATCCAACCCTGAGTCAACCGAGGACTTGGTCGTCAAATATATGACCCCAACTGTAACAATGGATCAAGAGCAGGAGCTACTCAGTTCTTCAACTCTTTATTATATCAAGAAACCTAGAAGGGCAGCTGGTGCAGACAGGAAGCGACTTATATCGCCTCCTCTTTAGTGGCAGACGAAGAATCTGTATCAGGAGAGGAAAGGAACTCCCTTCGGTAAAATCAGCAAACGCTTATTCTCACACGATGAATCATCTGAATTGGAGGCGCAAAAGCTCCACATAGCTGAATCTAATGTCTTGTCAGGTATAGCAGATTTACAAATACACTGCGGGCATAGAAGTGGAAATCTTGTACCTTGAAAATCTGATAACCTCAAAGTCGATCATTAGTTAACTGGAATCTTTTCGGTATGTCATCTGGAACCATTGAGAAGATGATTCACGTTTCCGGAGGTGCACATTCCGGCCTGGATAGTTATAGGTTATCTGACTGAAATGGGAGAGTGTTTCCTTACTGGTAGGTACAGTTAAAAGTACCCTGCAGCCATAGGGTGACATCTCCCAGAAATTTGTCACAGGAGACCAATATCCCAAGTCACACATTTGTTTTGCCTACCTACCTGACTCAAGGTCCTCAAACCTTGGAGGAAATTCAGGTTCTGGTAGCAGAGCCTACCCGGCCCCGAGTTTTTAGCCCTTGTGAGAGCCCCAAGCTTGCCAGCGGGCCTGAAATACACTTCACAGCGTATTTTTAATTTTATTTAACTATATTTATTTTTTACTTTTTAGTTTCATATGCTATCAAAGCGTGTTTTTTAGTTTTTCAAACTATATTTATGAAATATTTAAGTAACTGAATTGAAATCCATATTCTGTTTTGCTTTCAAATAATCGAATTAGATTTCAAAATGTATCTTTCGTTTCGTTCAAAACTTTTTCTGTACTAAATCGCGGATAATTGAAAATATTTTAACATCTAAATATTTCATCTGTAGTACAAAATTTCGCTAACACATACTTCTTGAAATCCATTTTTTATTTTGATTTTCTTCAAGGAGGTTACTTTCAGTGCCATCTGCCCGCGAATAGATCAAGCAATAATGTGGATAGTCACGTACAACGCCATCTGCCCGCGAATAGATAAAGCAATAATGGCGACAGTCACGTATAGCTGCCCGCGAATAAATCAAGAAATATCAAGGAGGTTACATACAGCGCCATCTGCCCGCCAATAGATCAAGCAATAATGTCGAAAATTCTGTAAATACAGATCCCGAGCTTGAGAGTTATGGATTGAAAGGAAACTTGTACACGTTTTTTCTCTGCAATCTCTGCACATCGATGTAACGTCTCCATGTAGAATTTGTTCTTCAGTAAAAGACTCCAAGAAGTTATAAACTCACTAGATCAGAATTGATTGGACGTTACCGATGAGTGTCCACAGTATGCACATTTCAAGATAGATTTTAGAAGACCGACGAAACCGTCCACAATATTGGAGTTGTTTACCTTGCGATTTTTTGCTTTCCAGTAATTCAACTTTAATGTCCGGCAAGATTGGTTCAGGATTCTCAGTGATTCTATTTATGTCTTGGTGTAAACCTTCCAAAAGAAATCGGAGGAACTCCTGGGCGTCTTGCTGCGCGTATTCGATGAATAAAGGGGCAAATGTTTGGATCTGGCTCTTTGAGGAAAAGGTGTTTACCACTCTATCCGATAAACATTCTGACCAAAGTTCTTTGATCATTTCTGCAAGAACTTTGATGAGAATACCAAACCTGCTAGAAACACTTTTGTTGATAGGTATGTTTCACATTGGCACGATTTTCAAATAATTTTTTATCAAACATCTAGCTTCTGATGAACAATTGATTGCACTGTTCATAAAACACATATTTCCAATATTTTTTAACCCAACAAGCCCATAAGTTCTAAACGAATTTCTTCTTCGATGCTTCCTAATCTGTAAATGCTTCGTTCCTTTTCTGTTGACTTACACGAGAGTTGTTAGGCCTTGAGAAAATCTTGAAATGGTTAATTTGCTTACTCCCGTTTTGGTGACTCATAGGAAATTCTGTTTCAATTAATGGGTTCAGATATATTTTATCTAATTTTTGAGTAGACAGAAGAATACCCAACACCGATATGGCATTACCTCTTTAAATGGCGATACTAACTCTTTGAAAAAAAAATGATTAGGCTCTGTGTCATCGGAGGATTTTAGCATTATTTTACCAAGATCCAAGAGCACCTAAAGGTTTCAATTGCAACAGGAAAAAACTGTAAGAACTCAACAAAACTGGGTATTTCCAAAATTTTTATTTATAGTAGCTGCATCACTAGAATTAGATGTTGCAGCAAGATGTGAAGTTGCAACTGTGCCTACGTAAGTGAAGTTCCAAAACAGAGGTTTTCCAGATTTTCAAGGAATAGACTCATCACGACTGTATCACAGACACCAAGGGGTTCAATAACTGAAGAAGCCGCTGCAATGGCTAGAGCTCTTTTTATAAGATCACTAATGGAATGATGTCTTAAAAATCTGCAAGAACTAAATTTACAGTTCAGGACATGGTAACCATAATAATTATAGTTTTTATTGACTGAATTACAAATTATATAAATACATATTCGTAATATTATGACATGTATATAAAATAACGAAACTTGATTGAAAATAGTCTCATATACTACTTCTATCTCTTTCTAATGACTTGGATGTATAGGAATTTGAAAAATCCCAAAACTGTAGATCAAGTGATTTCATCTTGAGGTGTGTTTTGTTCACACTAATCTCATTCCAGATCTGTCATTTCCGCCAAAAGTTTTAATGTAGGTTAATAGACTGACACCTATCAGAAAACAACTACTCCCTTGGCTAATACTACGAAGGGCGTTGGATTAAATCCTTTTGCCTCATCAGTCTACCAACGGTAGGAAACATGTTGTGTGACATAATTTAATCATGTATGGCTTACAATATTACAAAGTAATATTTTAAAATTACAGATGGTTGATATTTATTCAAATTTAGTACTTATGTAGGACTCCCCATTCATACAAGAATGAAATATCGTTTTTTTTCTCTGAAACATTATTTTCCGTTTTTTGAAAGGGTACTTCAGTCTTTTCCATCATTGACAATTTTTGATATTATGGGAAATCAAAACAATAGTTCTTAATAAATAGATACTTTTATTGATTTTGCAAGGTCAGACCCTGCTCAACAATAAAATAACGTAAAAATGCGATATGTTTGACACGAATATAAAACTAAATGTACATTACATATACTGAAGTAAATGATGTGCAACAGATTGCCGCATTAATTTCATTCATATCAAATTCAAAACATGATGAACAGTTTTGAAACCACACCCGTTTTATGTCAAACGGTAAGTTTTAGTGATCGATACCTACTGAAAGTTTTTGGTGCCATAAACGATTCAGACATTTCAATAATTTTCATGTATGAATCTCACAAAAGTACTTCGAATATATATATTATTTATTGCAATGTCTTTTCATATATTTGATTTTTTCCATTTTTATTAATTCCTTACAACAAATAATACATTAAAAATTAAAGTATTGTGTATGTGCATGTGTGTATGTGCAACAGATTGCCGCATTAATTTCATTCATATCAAATTCAAAACATGATGAACAGTTTTGAAACCACACCCGTTTTATGTCAAACGGTAAGTTTTAGTGATCGATACCTACTGAAAGTTTTTGGTGCCATAAACGATTCAGACATTTCAATAATTTTCATGAATGAATCTCACTCGAATATATATATTATTTATTGCAATGTCTTTTCATATATTTGATTTTTTCCATTTTTATTAATTCCTTACAACAAATAATACATTAAAAATTAAAGTATTGAGTCGAATATTGCCTACACATCACTACCCAACATATCACAAAATGGAAGAATTTTGTTACATTACAAACTTTAAAATTGTATGACATTTAATCACATTTCAATACATGCAATACAAAAAGAGAGACAAAAACCATGAGATTTGATGAATCGATGGTCCCTTTCAATTTCAAATTGGAAGTTCAGTCGTAAATTTCACCTGGTGTCATAGTATTTTAGGGCTATATTATAAATCAAGGACTTTCTAATGGATGGTTTAAATTTACAACTTAACTGTAGAGGTACAAAGGTGAGTTATTACATATATTGAAAAACCTAAATTGATAAAATATGCAGGTTCAATTATAGGATAATTCCGAGACAATTCAATATTTTTCAAAAAATTCAATTCAAGGTTTACAAATAGAGGTACTAAAGGGATCCAACTTGTATTTATTTGTGGATGAATACATTTTGAAAGATGACGTTCTTGAAATGCTCTTTATAAGCCTCATTTCTCTAAGAACATTTCTGTGAAAGTTAAATCTGACAGATTTGCCCCCTTTTAGCTTGTTACTCTGAAATAATAAGTTCAGTTAAAGTTGATTGACAGATTTCAAATCGAAATACTTTAATTTTTTCTGCAACCACAACATCCATTCAATTGTATCTCCATGCAAGTGGAACGTTTTTAACTCTCCTTTAGATGTGTTAAGAATCCCCAGAATCGAGAACGCTGACACAACGACACAAATGTATTGACTTGTTCTATTGCATCTTAATCGTTAGATAAACATATTTGTCACACTTGCGTCATTTCAGGTAATTAGTTGGTTAAATATGAATTTCAACAAATTTTCCGCTTTCTGATTTTACTCGACAGAGCTTGAAACGAATGTGGTTTCAGGAAAAAGTTTCGCAGTTGTGAGAATCCCAATAAAAATACAATCAAAAATAGACACATTTACCAATATTGAAAAAATACTCACTGATTCCCATAATATGGAACATTTTTGTAAGTTATTGAAAAATATGTTCAGTGACGACTGCAAAGTTTTTGAAAACACTATTTTCAATCTGGAATCAGTTATAGAAAAGTGCTGAGTTCTGCATTGATTTATCCTAAAGAAATAGATGATATTTTAATTAATTCTTACTTCAGAAGTTATTTTTTCAGATTTTAGGGAGCTATGAAAACAAAATTAGGCCCATGAAAGAATTAAGAGATACTAAAAATTCTGTAGTTTTCAAATTCTGCGCTGATATCTAATTTCTGAAAAATTTGTTATTATCTTTGACAGCTTTTAAAAAGAGCAGATATTTCTGTATACAACATTTAAAAAACTCATTCACCAAGTGAAATACGGACTGTTTCAACAAAAACGCATTAATACAAAATTGAATTTGTTCATAGGGACCCTTATTTCATTATCCACAATTGGGTTTTTGTTGACTATTATAATTGAAAACAAATTCACTTTTGTACAATAAAGAAAAAGAAAATATACTGTCAAACAATATTTGAAACTAGAAATGCATATACATATTTCAACAGAATCGAAATGATTGAAATAAATAAACGCTGGTCAATCCAGAAATTCAATTATAGTATATCTAAGTCTGGCATTCCAGACATTCAATTGCCAAACACGTGTGATATGTAGTGAAAATTTGCTTCATCTAGTTGATTCATAGACTCCCTAGTAACTGAAAAATCTGTTATATCATATTGTATCATGAAATTACTTACATACTAGACTTAATGCATACATTATATTGAGACATTCTAAAACTTATAAACTAGTTACAGGGCATTGAAAATGAAAATATATCACAGAATAACTGCCCGACGTGGCTAATTGGCCAGAAAAAGAAAACAACCCAGTGACCCATTTGTGACAAATATAAACGCACTAATGAGTCTACCAAGTAGTGTTAATCCATTCCTCGGACACAGCACATGAACTTCTTCCACACCTGCCTAGGCTTCTTTTGTCTCTTTAAAGCTATCACAATGGCCATGTCGAAAGCCTCTTTGAGGTGAGTGCAGGCTTTAGCCGAGGTTTCGATATAAGGCGCGTTGAGCCTTTCCGCCAATCCTTTCGCCTCTGAAGACAGCACGGGTCTCTGGCCAACTTTCCTCAACTCGTTGATGACTTCTTTGTTGCTCGTGAGATCCGCTTGAGTTCCTACTAATACTACAGCAGCTCCTAGTCGGTTCAGTTCCTCGGCCCACCTGCTGCACGCTGAGAAAAACGAATTGGGCTTGACGATGGAGAAGCACAGCATGAATACGTCTGTGCCAGGGTAGCAGAGGTGCCGAAGGGGATCGAGTTCATCCTAAAAAAAATTGTTATCGTTAGTGACTATCTGGTGAACATTGGAAAATTTCGGTCACATGATGATTTTTGTGAGAAAGATCGAAATAGTTCTAAACAAATATGTCCGGGACGAGGGGGTTTAGGCAAGCAAATTATCATCATCAGGACAGTCTTAGTCAACATTATTTTCGTCATAAGTCGCCTAATTTTGATGCTATAGGGAGTTCAAAAGGAAACAACAGGTTTTTTGGGCTCTTGAAAATTTTTTTATGAAATCTCTCAAAGAATGCATTGTTTTTTGGTTACTCCACGTTGAAACTTGCAATTTTTGCATTTGACTAATAAAAAACCAACCTTAAACAAGCTATCACTTCCTTTGTATCATGCCTACGGACACCCTAATGCAGGGCGCACTCTTTTTCCAGCAGTTTCTAGGTGAGTTGTCATCACCAATTACAACAAACCCACCTTTAGTCTTGTTTTCTGCTTCAGATTCCGTTTGATATTGCTCTGTTGCCTTTTGAACATCTAAACTATCTTCAAGTTCATCAAGCATTAGCCCATGATTTTGAATGTCGTTGATTTCTTCTGCTTCAATCTCAGCTACCTGAAGTTCTTTTGAAATGTTTAGTAGTCGCATTTCTCCAACTCGTCAACGATGTAGTGGATTTAGCACCATGGTGAAGATTCATCTCACAGTTTGATTAACTCTGTCTCTCATCGGGTCGGTATATAAATCCGACTCGAGGGACCAAAATATTTTGTTCTCTTTATTTTTCATTCAACTATTTTCTTTCTTTCAATTATTTATGATTTTCATTAACAACAACAACAACCTTTCCTTGTTTCGTAACTGGCATTTAGCAATTCAATGTAAATATAGGGTGTACAAATATTAATTCAAACATTATACAATGACCTCCAACAGAAGGAGGTTTACTTTGAAGTAGAGCTTCAGTAGAACTCACATCCAAATTTTTATAAACATTGTTGCTGTTGCACAAAAATGGTCATTGATAGGATTATAGCTCCCTGTCACACGATGACAGGGAGCTATGATTCACGGGTCACCAAAATGTGCATATATGCAATAAAAAATCCATTGTGGGAGAAAAAATGATACGTTCCAATACCTAGTCGCATATTACTCGTTCAATGATCCAAGATGATCAATAAATAAAAAGAAAATGATATTGTGGCCCAGAAGCATCCAATAAAAATGTGAAGGAATATGGAGTGAAAATTTTACAATAGATATCTAAATTTTTGTTTGAAAGTGAACATATCGTTATAATGATATAATGATATTATAAACAGAAGAAGCGAAAAATGAATTGCTGTATGAAATGTGAACCTTCACTTTCTCAATGAGAATGATAGTGTTCCATGTGAGTGATGTTTTACCTCTTTCATTTACTATACTGAGGAGGAATCCTGAGATTGATATCTGATTCAATTCTATAACGAATGTTTGGAATACAAACTGAATAGAGAAAAGGGTTTTTTGTATAATTATGTGTTCATATAAAGGTATTTGTTTCGAAGGTATTTTACTTTCGTAAAATTTGATGTTTATATAAAAGTAGCTGTGTCTGGAAGGCTTTCTCTTCCAGTTTGTGTCTGAATGTTACTTCTTTGCATGATCAACACATCTTTGCATAGGATTATTTTTTTAAATTGATTAGTTACTTTCTTTCTTCGGAAGATTCCCACATGTTTTTTGTATCAAAATGGAGAAGTAGAAAGCCAAAACCTTTCTCTCACACAATAAAGGTTATTATTTCTTAAAAATTTATTCAAATTTGCACAAAATAATCTGATTACTTCACTAACGAGACCCTTGTAGCTGATTATACTTCTCACGAGATAATTAACTTTTTTCAGATATTTGAAAGTATCTAAAACTCTAGATATGCTGTTTGCTATATCATTTCTCCAAATAGGTCAGGAGTTACCAGACTTTTTAGATTTGCAGCATGAGACATGTTCTCTTTGAAATAAGTTTCAATATCTCGTATGACTTAACCAATATACTTTCAGTATACTAAATTAAATATACGACACGATAACATACTGTAACAAATTAACGAATTAACTGTCTTCCTATATATCGGTAAAGATCGTTTCTAGAAGTCTGTAGTAGGTTCGTTTCTAGAGTTTTACCGGCGGTTGTCGACTGCATACTTTCGCGGTGACGTCATGTGTTTGTTTGCTGGCCGGCATATCGGTCAGGGGTGGCTTCAGGTTCGTTGCAATACTCATCCAATCTTCTTCCGAAGGAAGATGAGAGAAATCCTGCATTTTTCATTTCAATAATGAACAGAATTGTTAATAATATTTTAGATGGATTTTCTGTTTCAAATTTCACTATATATTCATTCATGAAGGAACTATACAGGCTGATTCACGGTGGATAGCACATTAAACGTTTTTGGTGAACCAGATAACGGATCACCTTTAAAATTTAATGGAGAGTATATTCGGACATTCTCTACCCAACTGATATACTTTCTAAATTGCGGTGTTGCCACTTCCATTAGAAAGTCGTAGCAACTTTGATTTTTCAAATGGAACACCCTGTATATAATATTATTTTTGAAATCTACAACAATTACCCGACAACTTTTCTGAAATTTCCTTACACCTATCTGTTACTGTTTTCGAAATATGAATTAATTTAATTTTTTCTTCGGAAATCATGACCCTTAAAATGCTGATATCTTTGAGCTGAGGAATGTCATAGTACCAAAATTTGGTTTGGAGTTATATGATACTTGGGTGCTTCCCATACTTCAGCGTAATCTCCGTTACTTCAATACAGGGAGGTAAAAAAATAGTTTTTTTGTTTACTTGAAAAAGTGACTTAAAGTTAATTATTTAACATGGAACACCCTATTACAAATTCAGAAAGCTGTTAAAATTTGATTTCTCTCTATGTATAAATTTCTTGAGGTTCATTAGCGGTAGATTCGGATACTTTTCGTTGAACTCTCTACTATCCAAAAATAAGAACTTCGTTTGAATAATTTTGTTCTGTCGTTTTGGAGGTATTTGAAACTTCTGAAGTGACGAAAATGTCGATATTATTAGGAGAATGTCACAACGCTACTGTCAAATAGTAATCATGCCCTGCTTACAAAATACCGGATGGGAATACCATTCCAAACCAAATTTCGGTACCATAGTATTCCTCAACTCAAAGATGTCAGCACTTTTCGAGGTCATGATTTCCGAAGAAAAAAATTGAAATTAGTTCGAAAACGGTAACAGGTGTATGAAATATCAAGAAAAGTTGTCAGGTAATCATTGTAGATTCTAAAAATAATATTATATACAGGATGTCCCATTTCAAAAATCAAAGTTGCTACTTCTTTCTAATGGAAGTGGCAAAACCGCATTGTCGAAAATATTTTATTAGGGTAGATTACGTCCGAATATGGTTTCCATTGAATTTTCGAAGTGATCCGGGGTCTGGTTCACATGTGCCACCCACCGTGAATCAGCCTGTATACTTCACCTTTATTCAGAAATTACCAGGGTAATTTCGTATCATCTCCTTTTCATTGCTATATTTCCTTGGCTTTTTTTTCTGGAATAATTTAATGATTTTTCATTTACGGTAAGTTGCAAAGTTCTTCAGTAGAATAGTTAAGTAATATATGACTGCGCCAGAAAGAGAAATGAACTTTTTATGATTCCTGGAACAAATCTCGCTCCCATTTCTGATTTTTGCTGTCGCAACCTCTTACTTGCCTCTTAAATAACATTTCACACACCAGAGCGGGTAATGAAACTAGACCACTCGGTATTATGTTCTATAAATACAGTTGCTAAGTCCAGTTCGTACCGACCACCCTGAAATTGAGTTTCAAGGCTATTCCATTCAGGTCCTTCTAAAATTGTTCTTTCCTTTTGAAAGAACAAACCAACCGAACAGCATAAATGGCAACCACCTATGATTCACCTGAAGACATATATTGCTCATCCAGCTAATTGCGGCTGCACGGGTACGGAAATAACTCCTTCATTCGTTGTTTCTTAGATTTACATACTGAAATCAGGTTTACTTATGTGTGTGGCCGTTGGTATTATATCATTATTGAAATTGTTTTGGAACTCTGAGAGAAAATACTGTGGTTGGGTAACAATCTCAATTAGTTTCGAATGAAATAATACACACCACATTTGTTGAATTCCACCTCTATATACAGTGAGTCTCAACTTGCTCCTTACAAAGGATAATGTATTTATCATTGATTGCTAAGAAATTTTTCTCTCATCTCATCAATTTTAATAAAAAAAACCTTCTATCAACCATCCAATCCATCCATTATATTCTGGTATATAACATCAATCTGATTTTTTCTGAATGCTAAATGTTTTTGTATATGAATATATTCGTATAAGGATAGTTTTTTTCTGCATCATCAATCGCTAATTTTAAGTTTCTGCTATATAATGGAATGTTACTTTTCAAATTTGATATGTTATCTACAAAGTGTTGAAAGACGCAAAACTGTTTTCAAATAGTAAAAATTTCTGACCAATGTGAGTTGAAATTTGACACAGGAATAACAAAGTACATCATAAGTACAGGAATAACAGTTGGAATGTACACTTTCACGGCTGGCGTCAATGTTTTGGTTGTTTCCGGGTTTTGTCATGGTCTTCTTTGGTTACATACTCCAAACATTTCAACTACAACTGCGGCGATCACGCCACTGAAGATCACTGCCGCAGTTGCAATTGAAACGTTTAGAAACCGGAAACAGGAATGAAAGTTTTTTGAAATCTAGAAAGCCAGAATTTGAAATCGAATAAATTACCCTAAATATTCTAAATTATTCCTAGATATATTTTTTTTGAAAATCAAAAGTTAGTTTGGTCCCCCCTGTATGGGAGTTTTTTTTAGAATTTGATGTATGTTATCTGAGTTTCAGATGACCCAGAAGATTTTTTACTCTTTTCAACTTCTGTGTAGTCATGACTACACATAATTTATTCGGGTATTTCAATATG